CTGTTAATAATTTGATTTGGCTTACATATTATGTAACTAGTCATTTCAATGAGTGAAATGCTCGAATCTACAACATTCACGGCGGACATCAGCATGTCAGCATAATAATTGGATAACTCACGTACAAAAGCAGGTATTATCGGAAGTGGTGACAATAACGAAAAGTGAATGAATGAAAAAGTCATAGGTTGATACAGTTCATCTACCACAGAGTGGGTAGAGAGAGATCTGTAAACCCAGTCCCCCGGTGAGACCAGTAGTTGCCACGAGACACCCAACACTCCTCCCCCTTCCTCATCTCCTTCCTGCAACCATTATACACAAACTGTATTAGTATACACCTCTCACTCCAAGTTTCTGACTACCACTCTTCACCATTCTTTCAGTCTACCAGGCATGAGATAAGGAGCGAGATGCAGATTCAGGTTAACCCAATGAGAAAAGTTATCTGTGCCAGCGGTTAATTCGAGGGTAAATTTGACTTTTGCATAGTGCATGCTCTGTCATACAAAATGGTTCCTGTCCACAAAATTTGTGGAGAAAACTTTTACAACTGGCCGTGACACTCACACAACTTCTTTCCCTTTTAAAATATTATTATCAGGTCCATCTAAAAGTCGAGGCATAGCGACAAGGGAACCATCTTAGAAATGGCTCTAATACTCACCTGAAGAATGTCGGAGACCAATCTTTCCCCAGTCTCTCCCTCTCAGCCCTCGCTTGCCTCTGTATCTGAGAGATAATTACACCATTTTTACTACAATTCTTTCCTAACACAGATGATACAGTAAAACAGAGGAGATAATTGTTTGCTTTTGTTGACAGAAAATACAATTCCTGCCCAACACAGACGATACTAACAGCACAGTAATAGGGGAGCTGCACAGGCTTTTTCTCCTTCTCATTATTGAGATCTATTTTTTTACTCGACTACCCCAATCCTGTAGCCTGCGATTAAGTTGCTTTACTTGTGCAATACTAACATACCTGCTCCACTCTGTGTTTTTCTGGTTCAGCCTGTTCAATGTAGCCCTCCTCTAATAACCTGCCATATAGATTGTCACTCCAAATCCAAACACCTTAATTGAGACTAAACTTATTCTGTGATCAAACCCCAAACAACTCAATTATGGTTATACCAGAGAACTCCCAAACTCTGTGCATGCAAAAACCTTTATAAAACTGAGTGTGAGACTGTAAGTCTAACTAAAGGAGAAAGTGTGGTTGGCTGACCTCTGGTCAGGTCTGTATCTGGAGTCGGTCGGAGGCAGTTTGTCCCTCATTCCCTCCTCAAACCCGTTCAACTGGATTGCAAACTGGTTGAACCCGTAGTATTGGTCACTGTCCTCGGGCATTGGGGCTACAGCAACAATAGAACATAGCCACATTGTATGTCAGTAAAGACCATTACAAACATATCCCTAGCAGCAACTGGCAATTCAATGTGATTTAAGCAAAATGGTCCCCTTCGTTTTAGCATGGTTGAACTACAGTATAACCTACATACGTAATAATTATGATGTTGCTAAAGGTAATGTTGAACTACGGTTTTAACAAAGAGACATGTCAGGGGGAAACTGCATAATATGGTTTGGTAATCCTAGAAAATGACAATTGGTTACACGGGCTATACCACAGCTAGATCAGCCAATGGGGCAGTTGTCCCATTGACGGATGGGACACCGTACCAGCCTGCCAGACGGGGGAGGCGTCTCCGCTACATCGTACTAGGTTATATTACAGCTAGATCAGCCAATGGGGCAGTTGTCCCATTGACGGATGGGACACCGTACCAGCCTGCCAGACAGGGGAGGTGTCTCCGCTACATCATACTAGGTTATATTACAGCTAGACATCAGCCAATGGGGCAGTTGTCCCATTGACGGATGGGACACCATACCTGCCTGCCAGACGGGGGAGGCATTTCCGTTACATCGTACTAGGTTATAATTATTACAGCTAGACATCAGCCAATGAGGCAGTTGTCCCATTGACGGATGGGACAGCATACCTGCCTGCCAGACGGGGGAGGCGTCTCCGTCCTCCTCCCCACAGAACATGGCCTCGTGCCAGGTGCCAAACAGATGACAGACTTTCTCTCCGTCTCCGTTGTACACGTCGCCGTGAACTTCGTACTTCTTGGAGCTCCAGTAGCTAGCCTGTTCGGGGACACACCGTATAAGCAATTTGAACAAGAGTACAATTGGCAATACCGGACCCCAATGATCCACCATAATATTAGTGCATAGCTGGTTTAAATCGAGCGATCTGATTGGTCTACACGAGGTACTTGATTTCCTGTAGTATGCTTCTGCCTACCGTTTCTGGCTCGCCGCTGGTGGCTGAAACCTCGCTCGAGTCTGTTACCAATCGCGTCTTCATGCTCAGTCGAATTTCAGTCGCCTGGAAACGGGCGCTGTGCGTGTGCGGATTTGTCTGCTCTGCACTAAACCTGTTAGTTACTCAGTATACTCGGGAACTACGGGATTTCAATGAACCCTCGTGCCATCCGCGTAGTTGCCCTCGCTGCACTCGGGACACTACAACGCGGAGGTCCTCGGGTTCATTGAAATCCCGTAGTTCCCTCGAACGGAGTAACTAACTTATATATATTTCATCAAACTGTTATACTGTCAGTGTTATATAATTATACATCATTCACGTGAAATATGTGTGGAAATCGCTTCACTCACCAAAAATGCATTGCTATATAGTATGACGTTCATGGCTTGTAATATGCACATAGCGAGAAGTTCTGGGATGATACTTGTTTGGTATTTACAAGCATGGAAATTACACCAAATGGCATAAAATGTGCATTCTAATGAGGGATAGCAAAATGCGACAAAAAAATCAGAGGAGATGGTGTCAGACCTTGACGAAGGTGAGTTTGCAGGAGCATTTCCCTCTGTTGGTGATTGTCATCTGGCCGTACTGGTCCACCCACCTTTGACCTCCGAGGACGTTGTGGATACACGACGTCACCTTCTCCCACTCATAGTGGTCTCCATGTCTGAGGGGAGGGAGGGGGGAGAGGGAGGGGGAGAGGGAGGGAGGGAGGGAGGGAGGGGGGAGATGCTTGTGTGAGCTGGTGTGTTAATAATTTCCATACAGTAAATCCAAAGCCTACATAGACAAACGAAGCATGTGCTTCACCTGGGGAAGACACATCAAAGAAAGTGGTGGCGTGGTCAGTTATATACACCACTTCTTTGATTGACTACACATGCTTGGAAACGTTCTAGCAATTCTTTGGCAGGACGTACAGTATACACTAGGAATGATGACACGTGCAGTTTGTTGGTAAAGACTCTAGAAGTTCCATAGTGGGACAGAATGTACCTAGGAATGGTGACATTGACGGTTCCGACAGGGAACACCTCCATACTCTTTCCCCAGAACTTGCTCTTGATCCTGGCATCTGGGAGGTGGAGGAGAGAGAATGGCAGCAGCAGTAATAAAACTTGGCATCATGCAGAATTTACAACAGTTATGCGTATAAGCACGTACATATAATATAAGCACTGACACGGCTAGGTAAGCAAGCTTACTTCCTTACTTGCTTAAAAACAGCACAAACACCTATGCAATTCACCATCATTATTACACAACAACACTCTGTATGTGTTGGAGCCCTAGCATGTGTGCTTACCTTGCCAGAAGGTGAAGTTGGGAGATTCACAATGACAGGCAGCAATAGGAGGATGGTGACTCACCTACAGCATGATACACGCATCACTTTATCCACGAGGAAATGACTTAACATTGCATAACCAGCAGTCCCTGGAAGCTCAATGTCTACAGTGCATTACCAAACATGGGATACACGACAAGGAAATCTGCCCCTCCTTTGCTCCTTTGCCCCCTCCTCTCTCCCCTCACCACCTCCTTCTTTCCCTCTCCAGCTCTCTCCTCTCTTGCCTCCCTCCCTTTCCCTTCCCTCTCCCCCTCCCTTACTCCCCCTCTCCCCTCTCTTATTCCTCAACTCCCCTTCCCTATACCTCTCCCTCCCTCTCCTCCCTCTCACCTGTTCTGCCATGAACTTGAACCCCTTGTCCTCCCTGACCCACTCATAGGTCTCTCCCAGAATGGGGTTGAATGGCTTGCGTGCCGGTCTGTGGAACGCCGTCACATATGCCGACACTGCAAATGCTGCAACTTTAACCTGCACAGGCACACAAAAACAAACACGTACGTTGAAAGGATTATAGCCAAAAGCAAGAGAGAACAGCAAAAGCAAAATACAAGAATCTCACAAGAAATATCTTGTGTAGGTACTGCGAGACGCATGACGTGTGAAGGATATAAATTTACAACTGCAATACATCAGGTTGAATATGAGATCCTTGTTGGTCCCCATGTAAATACGTATGACTGAAATGTCCTCATTTTTCCCAAGACACCACAGGAACTCGAGGAACCACCCACAACCTATATATCGTGATATGTACATGGGGAAACAACCCAGATCCTATTATAGACAAACTAGAAAGGTCACCCTTTACAAAGGTGTGCACGATGCCTTGATGCATGGACAAAAGTGGCTGTACACCAACCATCCTATCGCAGGGGTCGTCCAGGTGGGCTGCCTGATCTAGGAGCTCGCAGTACTGGACCTCCTCACACAGCCTCTGCAGGGCACTCAGTGGTTCGTTCAGAGAGACGGGCATCGATACTCGGGACAGGTCCTTACCTATAGCCAGTGGAGAATTATTATACGGAGGAAGATTTGTTAGGGATAAAGTAATGGAAGTGATTGTTGTGGGTGTAGGCATAAAACTACTGCATTGTGCCGAAATTTTTCATGGCCCATCGCAGTATTGTTTATGAAAAAGAACCTTCAATATGTATGAGTATTTTTTACCAGCTAGGTCATGAAAACTTGATGCTGACACAACTCTATTTGTACTCCATGTAATCACGTTGCCCAACAGCATTACTGCTAGCCTCTGGCTATGTACCGTACCAATGTTTTTCCTGAGAATGGTCCAGAGACTGAAGTCTGCCATGTCTGGTGTGGGACATGGCAGTTTCGTTCTTCTCTGGGCCAGCTGACCTCCGCGACCTCCCTCTCCCCTCTCTCCCCCCTCTCCCTCTTCTCTTATCTCCACGAGCGCCTCGTTGTCGAGGGAGACCCTGTCCTTATTGAATGACGACACCTTCTTCAGAGCTGGGAGGAGAGTAGACAAATGAGGCGGGTTCACAATCATTAATGCAATGTCCCTAAAAGTAAATGCATGCTTCACGGAGCTTGCATAGTGACATAATACAACGCTGGAATAGATTTTGCATTAAGCTGTGCTGAACTGCAACCAGACCCACCACTAACCGAACGCAGGGGCTTGCATGCATATTATTGTGAACCAGCCTATCAACGGCTATTCTGGCACTATAGGCTACAAGACGGCAAGTAAGCGATACAAACAGCTTCGGAGCAATGACGACGGGAACGGATGATTGCATTAAGCTGTGCTGCATTGCAACTAGACCCAACACGGAATCATGTACCAACTACAAGTATACTCTCACTCAGTTAGTATGCAATGACATTGCATGCAAATTGTGAACCAGCCTTACGGTACGTATTGTATGTATAGCGAAAATAATAGTGGCATCCATAACAGTACACATTTCGACCTTTGAGCCATAAAAATAGTATTACAAAAGGTGCATGATAAAGATTTTATAGTAGTTAGCGAAGAATGGAGGAAACTGTGCCTATACCATGGGTTTACTATTCCTGGGGTTAGGCCCTGATGTACTACAATGTGCAAATCAAACCATACACCAACACACAGAAAATTCTTACACTATACTGGATTCATCATCATGTCATGTGCATACTCATTGATTTGATACAGTGTGCATAAGGTAATTTTTCCCGCGTCTACTTGAAGTGTTCAGGTGCAGAATGTTGTGTGTCCCATGGTAGCCTGCATTGTGATCTAGTGCAAAGCTGAAATAGACAAACGAGTGTATTTTATCTGTGCTATGTCGCATATATTCGACATTCCTTGCCCCGAGGACTCACCACTCCTGCGAGGGGAGAGAGCGAGGGAGTGGAGGACGTCGGCTGTGAGTGAGGAGTAGAGATCTTCACCAGAGTCCTCCTCATCTCTTCTCCGAGTTGTCGGTTGCCCTCAGTTTTTCCTCCTCATGGTGAACTCTCTCCTTCTTTCTTCTTGGTCGTCGGGTCTTCGCCTACTATGAGACTTGGACCTTTTGGTGGAGAGGAGGGGGAGGAGGGAGGGAGGGAGAGAATGAAGAATCTTGAAATGAAAAATGTGGCTGGTGCAAACTCAAAAGGGATTTCATAAGTGTTTTGTGTGTCTTGACAATATGTATATACATCTTAAAAGGGCCGGCTAGAACGAAAAAAAAGGGAGTCCTTTTCACACAAAAAAGTTGCATGCAACTTCAAATGTATGGGTATGCTGCCTGCAGTAGAAACGCTTGCAAACCGCATGCAACTTTTCTCACACAACGAAGTTGCATTGCGTATTATGTATGGCCTTAGGTGATGCTCACATCATCCAGGGCGTCAAAGAAGGTCTCGGACACGGTCGAACGGACCGACAAAAACGAATCGAATCTCGACAGGGACTTCCCTCCACCTCCGAACCGGGGTATACTCCCTCCGCTGGCACTGGTGAAAGACTGGGAGAGGGCTGCCGGAGTACGGGGTCGTGGGTCTTGAGGGAGGCGGGGCCAACGAGGGAGGCGGTCGCGGGCGACCCCAGTCCAGAGGCGAGGGCCTGGATCTGGGAGAGTCGGTCCTTCAGCTCCGTGTTCTGCAGCAGCGACTGCCGCAACATGAGCTGCTGGTTGGTGAACAGGGTCTGTCTCTGCTGCCTCTCTGCTCTCTCTCCTACTATACACTGCATACGTACAGTAACACACAGATGAGGGTGGGTATGACTCACTAATACATAGCAAGGCATTATGGGAATTTCACATTGAAAATCATGTAGCAATATGTTATGCCATCTGTTAGCAAAATAATACAAAACAGACGGGTACATAGGTGGGTTTCACCTCCCTCGCCAATAACTATGAATCATAAGTCATACATTTAAGTACATACGTACATACAATGGCCGGATACTATGAGAACTGTTAGGAACTACACATTCAGTTTAGAGAGTTTCTCTTTACCTCGTCGAATCCTGCCTGTAGTTTATCCCACTTTTCCAGCATCTCGTTGAAATGAGCAAACACTGAAAGACAACGAGAGAGCAACAACATTGTTGATACAGGACTGCATACAGTTTCACTTCCTTACACGACTGCTTCCCTCCCTATAATAAGTGTCACACATCGTGCAAGTGTTTTGGCATCTCCGATGTACTTTGAAGAAATGGGGTGAAGTACGTAGGTTGAAAAATTGGCAACAATAACTGAGTAGCACATTTGCTTTCCTTTACTGTTGGCACACTCCCTCCCTCCCCTCCTCCCCTCCTACCCTCCCTCCCCTCCTTCCTCTCTCCCACACACCTCCCCATCACCCACCAGTAGTTGCAGTGGAAGAGAAGATCCCTTGCCTCCCCTCCCTCCCCTCCCTCCCCTCCTACCCTCCTACTCTCCTCCCTCCCTCCCTCCCCTCCCTCCCTTCCTCCCCTCCTCCCTCCCTCCCACACCCCTCCCCATCACCCACCAGTAGTTGCAGTGGAAGAGAAGTCATCGCGTAAGATATTCTCCTCCATGGCCTCCTCTGACATGGCCAGAGAGTTGGCTGGCAACAACGGCAGAGACAACTGATGCTCGGGGAACAGGATCTAACATACAACATACAGACAATGACGTCATTATTACCTCATTCATATTAGAAGGAGCGGTATTATTAGATCTACTTGGCAGTATACGAGCCAGAGTGATCTAGTGTATAGTGCAAGACAGATCCGACTTGGCCGAATTACACAGTGTGAGGGCAACAATGAGAGTTAACTTCAGCAAGTGAACGAGACCATTATATAATATACAGCAGAACAGGCAACCCGCAAAGTCTCTGCATTAGTCTACTTTTTCACTAGATTTTTTCCACTAGATTACAAGCGGTATATACTAAAAAGTTCCCGCCATATATGGTATTCTAAACAAGCAACGCGAATGGCTAACCAACGGCCATCAAAATGGAATATATGAACACCGGGAAAACTGAGAAAGTAGTCGAGACATTATGGACTTGTTTTCACATGCCCAGTTAGAGAGAGCAGGCTCCATGTCAGAGGCATTCCATCGCAACACACTTAAACTCACTAACATTGGCAGTGGTGGTGTCTTTTGAGCTTTTCTTGTCGTGTCTTCTTCTCCCCCATCTCCTCTTCTCCTTCCCTCCTCCCCCTCCCCCTCCTCCCCCTCCCACCACCCCCATAGTCACCTCACTGCTGTTCTGGGCAGTGTAAGTAACGCCTCCTTCTGAACCACTGTCACCCTATATATTGAATGGGAGGGGGAGGGATTTACAGTAAAACCTGTCCTAATCACATATATATTGTGTTGATGGCCACCTCTGTTGAGCGAATGCCTAGGTCCCGAACGAGAGTCTTGTAAACTCCATACCTACAATGCTACCTGAATAGAGTAGGCACCTCCATTCAGGATTTAGCCTGTGTAGCAACAGATAGTATCACACATTAACGAGGCCCGTGAAGCAAAGGCGAAGCAAACTACGCCAACAACTCTCTTTTTCTCCCAAGGAAACACACACAGAGAAAGGCGCCTCCCTTTAGCGGCCAATGTATGTACCTCTACAGTATAAGTCATGTCAGTCTTTTTACATACAAACCGTTAAAAATAATTTGATTTTCGTTAGTTAATTCCAAGAATGAATATCATGACAGTCGTGCAGAGTAAGGTTTCCCATTGCTGTCACCCACAGACAACATGGGACAGGGGGGAGGAGGGAAAAGAATTTACATATAAATAATGTTGCGGAGAAAATAGGAGAGGAATAGAATGCAGCATCAAGGATACAGTGCAGAGGCTCCTGTTACACTAAGGCACAGTATGGCCCACTAGGGAGAGAGAGAGGGGAGGGAGGAGGAGAGGGAGGGAGGGAGGGAGGGAGAGTCAACTAACCGAGCGGTTGTTTAGTTTCTGGACTGGAGACTTGACACACACACCCAATGCCTCCAGACACTCCCTCACTGAGTCCAGGTCTAGAGATAGATAGATGAGAGAGACAGAGAGAGACAGAGAGGGAGAGAGGGAGAGGGAGTTAGAGTTCCCACCATTATGTGTACAGCACATGAACTTTATAAATCTGAGAGCCATTGGCAGCCCACAATGTGGGGTTCCCTTCTTGCCCATACTTAATGAATAAGAATGGTGTATGGCCAGTCTAAATTTAGTAGCAGTTACGTAACGATTTAGCCATACAGTGAGTATTTCCCTTGTAACCTCTGCAACTAAATCAAGATCATCTTCCTTCCAAGGAAGCAATCCATTCATTTGTGAATGGACATAACATGGATATTCTGTGTGGCTTTGCTAAGGAGCATCACAAACGAAGAAAGATCTTAGATCTTTAACCTACTACCCACAGTCCCCAGGGCTGGGCATCTGGTGTCCTCACATGTTACAGTGTGTTACAGTGTGTCAGTTTGCTGTGTGTGTGTGTGCGTGTCCGTATCCCATGTTTTGCTATGAATGTGTGTGTCCGTATCCCATGTTTTGCTATGAATGTGCATGTCCGTATCCCATGTTTTGCTATGAATGTGTGTGTCCGTATCCCATGTTTTGCTATGAATGTGCATGTCCGTATCCCATGTTTTGCTATGAATGTGCATGTCCGTATCCCATGGGTTTGAGGGGATGTGGTGTTAGTCCACTGTTCTAGTGTGCTATATATACTTAGCCAACCACGGACACATTGTGTCCAGAGCCTCCATAAGAAATTGTATATGGGGTTAAAATAGCAGTTGCTAATACTTAATACACAATTTCTGCTTTTAACCCGTAGTTGTCTGATCTCACCATTCCTCAGACTGTTGATGGTCTCCTGAGCCTTCTCCATCCACACCACCACCCCTCCCCCCTCTCCTCCCCTCCCACCCTCCCCATTTTCCAGCTGGTCCAGCCCGCCCTCCGTCCCGCTCAGCCGGGCCTTACGCCACATCTCCTGCGCCAGAAGACACGCACTCCACGCCGCAAAATGACTGGCGTTCTTTGTCTGTGGTAAAATTCAGTTGAGACAAACACAAACAGTAGTAAGTGAAATATGTTGATGGCAGGTGTAAATATTCAATTTCAATCGTCTAATATTTTGTGTAAGAATGGTAGGCAGCCATAGCACTAGAGCCATCGACCACGCACCAAGAGCAATGTGCGGAACCATTAACAAACAAACACACACCAAATGAACATACACCCACACTCTGGTGTCTGTCTCACCTCACAGAATGGTAATTTATGTACCGCCCTGAAATGTGGACTGTATACAGGGGTGGGTAGGAGGGAAGGGGCGATATGCAGTGTGTTGGTTTAGCTGCCCATTATCAGAGGGTTGTGTGCCAGTGGTGGTGGTGGCAGGTGATTTTCACTGTTGAACCTCAACAAAGCACCTCAGGGCCAAAACTTAACACAAACATTAGAAACTCCCACTTCACCTTACCTGAGGGTTCACAGCTATCATTGACGAGTGCATTAGCGTGAGGCAACTACTCTGGGTTGTATTCTCGCGATATGCTTACGTATACGTGTCGGTCACGCTTAAGAATGTCAATTAGTCACGCTTATGGAATGTCAATTAGTCACGCTTAGGAATGTCAATTAGTCACCAAAAGGAAGTGTAACTTCCGTCATTCGTAGGAAGTCTAGCTTCCGCTGTGCGCGCAGATTCGTAGGAAGTCTGGCTTCGCGCGCAGTCAGTAGAGCGCGCGCACGAGCGGCCTCAGTCGGACTGTTTACGCATTGGCTGGCAGGTGAGAGGCAAAATATGCACGTGCGCATTCCTAGTATTATATACAGTTGGAAAGGCTTGATAATACTATGATCACACCCTATACTTCAGAGCAATCTCTGAATGCCATACATGTTTCCCCTCAAAGAACCTCCATTACTATAATAGTACGCTGCAGCACTCTTCTTTCCTATTTCCACATTCAGTCACACACACAACTTTTATCATAATATGTGCAGTTGGAAAGGCTAGCTACGTATAATCACACCCTATACTTCAGAGCAATCTCTGAATGCCATACATGTTTCCCCTCAAAGAACCTCCATTACTATAATAGTACGCTGCAGCACTCTTCTTTCCTATTTCCACATTCAGTCACACACACAACTTTTATCATAATATGTGCAGTTGGAAAGGCTAGCTATAATCACACCCTATACTTCAGAGCAATCTCTGAATGCCATAAATGTTTCTCCCTCAAAGAACCTCCATTACTATAATAGTACGCTGCAGCACTCTTCTTTCCTATTTCCACATTCAGTCACACACACAACTTTTATCATAATATGTGCAGTTGGAAAGGCTAGCTACGTATAATCACACCCTATACTTCAGAGCAATCTCTGAATGCCATACATGTTTCCCCTCAAAGAACCCCCATTACTATACTATAGTACAGTACACTGCACTCTATTTCCACATTCAGTCATACGCACAATTTCTGTAGCACAAATATATTTTGTGAGTGGCACTACTACGCTTCACTTCATTTCACTTTCATTTCTCAACCCATATTATGTATCTTTCCCGACTCAGACAAAAAGGGTCTGGTGAGTGATTTCTTGCTTGTGCTGATTCAGCAGTCTTATTTTTCGGTCAGCCAATCAGATTGCTCAACGTCACGTAGAGCATGTGACCACGTAGAACGAAGCTCCGTGCACACCGCGTATTTGCGAGCGTATCCAAACTTACTTGCATGCGGTTATATTATGTAATGATCAATTCAGCTCAACCAAGAAAATGTCACCAGACCCTTTCCCTCACTAGAGGGCGGGGTCTGGGTACGAGACTAGGGTGCCACATACTACGCAGCTCTAACAGCATTTACTTGCATACCTTGAGATGGTAAACCTGTCTTTCCTCGTCAATATCAATCTTCCATCGGACGCTGTCACAAGTTATCACGGCAAAACCCAAGTCTGTTCGACTCAGGATCTTTCCTTTTTTCATCTGGACCTTGTTCCTGGAGCACGTGAGGATACCTTCTTGTAGAGTGAAGTACCGCTGTGTGTGTGTGTGTGTTATTGGCGAGGGGGGATGAAGGAGAGAGAGATAGAAGGGGAAGAGAGGAAGGAAGGAGGGTGGAGGGAGGGGGGAGGGAGGGAGGAGGGAGGGGGGAGGAGGGGGAGGGAGGAAGGAGGGAGGGGGGAGGGAAAGAGAGAGAAGGAAGGGAGAAAGAAAGAAGTAAAGGGAGGGAAGGGAAGAGAGAGGAATTAATATGCACTGCATGTTAGCATGTAGGTGGAGATAGATAGACACTTATAGTAGGGAGGGAGAAGGGAAGGGAAGAGAGAGAAAATCTAATATGTGTGAACATGCAGTGCATGTCAGCATGTAGGGAAAAATTAAACACAAAGGTCATGCTGAATGCACACAGCTATTCAGGTCTAGACGCGACACTGTACACCGACCTTGTGCCATCCTTTGAGTGGGGATTTTCGCCTCTTGAACAGAAACCCTCGAATGTTCTTCAGTTTCCCTTCCTCCCTCTCCACCTCGCCCCCTCCTCCCCCATTCCCCGACTCATCACTCTCGTAGAAGAATTCCCATAGCCCCGAGAATCTCTCTTTACCCTGTCCGTTCCTCCTGGGACTCTGAAACAGAGGCACAGACGGCAAGTTGAATTCATAGGGCACAGGGCAATTATGATAGTCACTTAAACTAACAGCTCACGCTAGAAAACAGAGTTGTACAACTTTGTTTGTACAACTCTGATGCAAATGTTCCCTCTTCAGTCGTTGCCTTAGAATGTGAAAACATTTGTTGTTGGCTACTGGAGCTCATGTTAGCACCATATGCACTTCAGACTTTGAGGTGAGACACTGTAAAAATGGTTTATGGTTCCTCGAGTTCAATTCACACCTGTCACACATCCGGTTAACGTTTACAACGCGATTTGAAGCAAAAGGGTATTGAAGGTAACGGACTGACACGCGGGAGTAGGGATGTTTTCAGGGGAAGGGCTCCCAGTGTATCGTACAGCAGCCAAATTGTGTGGGATTCCAAACCGACAGCCAGGCCGTAATCCTTTGTCTAAAGACGATGTTAAAAAGAGACACGATGTCATACCTGAATCCACGCCGTGACATGATGATGTAACTCTAGCCATAAGAACACCTATAGCCACATGCACACTGCAAAAAGGAAGTCTGTTTGCACACAACTCCAGCCAAAAGAACATCTGATGCCACATCCTCTAGACCTCTTCAACATACACACAGGTAGACTATACACAAACGACTGGAAAAACGCCACAGACGACATTCTTTGAAATATCAACTTCCTCATTGCATGCAGCCTTTATGTGACCCCAATGGACATTTCCCTGCCATCAATGTAGGTCAGATCACATCCTTGTCATGGCACCCCAGTACATTTCTCCTATAAGCAGTACCACCCACGGATTCCGTGCTGTAAGGAACAGACCTGAGATCTTCTTCCGCTTTATGCAAAATGAGGAGAAACAGAGGCCAGATATATATCGTCAGTTTGACGTGCCACAAGGCGGTGATTAGGAAAAGCTCATGGTTTACTTACATCCAGTCAATGGGGTTCAGAAGGGTCAGAGGAAATTAGACTGAGTGGCAAAGGAAACGTGACAATGTTTTACCATTATCTGTCAGGGGCAGGCTGGGTTTTATGAATGACTGTGTGTGTATACTTCTAACATGCTGATGAGTGGGAGAGAGGTATGCGCTTGATTATATGCACAGCAGTGGTTTCAGTAACTTGAAGATGATGATGCGATGTGGAATGCAAAAACAGTAAAACAGGGCCAAAGGAATGAAGATTGCTGTCTAGCTGCGAAGGAACGTGGGATGTGCAGGAACGAACACACTAAGGGTAGCTAGTGTAGCTACTACATCGTCAGGCACTATGCCGCATGGTTAGGCTCTGTTACACCTATTCAAGTGCATACCCACAGTAGCTATACACAACAACAGACGTTGAGTACCACAATGAGACTGCAGTACATGACGTAAGTACTACAGCTAGCTAGATAATTAGCTGACCTTGGGGGAGACGTCAGCGAAGGAGACGGGCGCCGAGCGCAATTTCGAGCTCTTTTTCCCCTTCTTGGTCCCGGGTATAGGCGGCGGTCTGCGGGTGTTGTGGTACACGTCCATACTTCCACCACCACGGTCTGTCAGTGTGCTGACTGAATGCTGCGTGTATGACAGGGGAAAAGTTTATCTTTTATCGCGGCCGGCCGGCCCGTCCCACTTTAAATCCACACGCATGCGCAGTTGGTTTCTTCCTCGAGCTAGCTAGCTAGAGAGAGCGCGGCGGTGGAGGGTATAGGTCGAACGTGTTTTGAAGGCAGGATGAGTGGTACGCCTGTGCAGTCCCTGCCGTGTCGAGTCAGAGTTGACGGTGGAACGAGGAACGCTTCGGCAGTGTTCTTTGAATCCAGCATAAGGAATGGACCGGGCGGTCGAAGTGCCTCACTGAGGGGAAGGCCATTGAGACACGTTGAGCTGCAGGTTCCAACTGGCTATACAGGCGTTGTGGTTAAAGAGACTGGTAATCGTCATTCTCCGAACAGCTCTGAGTTGACTGAGTGTAATAGATTTTGTAGCATCGATTACTGGACACTTGGGTCTGCACCACCCTCCTCCGACAATGTATTCGGCCAGGCATTGGCCTGGACCCAATTATCGCAGTCGATTCATACTCTGCTTCCAGTTGATGAGCAATAGACAATTGTGTGCATATTATAACTGTTTTGTGTGTTTGTCAAATTGAAAGTCAAAAAGGCAAATCAAGAGAGATATAGTTGTCACACTTACGTGCATGTTCACAACACAGTACAGTACACAAAGTGTTCATATAATTTTTTTGTTCACCCTTCCTCTCTTCTCTACTCATCTTTCTTCCTCCTTTATCCTCTCCATCCCCCCTTCGCGCATTTGTCAAAGTGAACGTAATGTATAAGAGCAGTCAGACTTCAACGCATGCACGAAGCACTATTAGCAACCGCATGCTAAAAAACACCAGTAGCAACTGATGGCGACATTCATGAGCAGTCAATTTTTCACTTGGTGAAACAATATAGTAGCATGCACAACACGTATAGTAGCAAGTGATGAGGTGACATTCATGATGAATACAAACAGGAAAAAAAACTAAGTTGAATTCTCTAGTTCACCGGTCTGGGTCTAGTTCTGAAGGTATGTCTCTTGGTCCACAGTGTGAAGAGGGTGGAGTGAAAGGCGTCGTAGGGGTGTGGCTGGTCGTTCCAGGTGAGGTGTGGGTACACCTGGAGGATGGACCGCCTCATCTCCTCCTGTCGTGCCTCTGGAATGGCTCTCAGGATCTTCTTCAGCTCCTTCACCTGTGACCACATACATAGATGGCCACACTTTACTTCTGCTTTAGCTCCTCAAAAAGAAAAGGTCTATATACAAAAACAAACCCTCAATAAATGAACACTCTTTGAGGTCCCAAACATCTAGCTAATACATGCTAGTACATTTTAACCTCCGAAGTGAGGACAACCTCCCTCTAAAGGACAAAATGACTGGTCCCAATGTGTCCATTTTTCAAAGGTTCCACTGTAATGAGAGTGGGAATGTATATGTTTATACTCCCTCCTGATCTCTCTGACAAGACCCTCCTGCTGACACAGGCCAGTCAGATTACCCTCTTGATACATTGAAACCTCAAAAAACATGCATAAACACATGACTGCCTTAAAGATGTCTCCTAACACATTTAGGATGCTGTTCAAGTTCCACCCCACCCTTATAAAGGGTGCACCTCTTACTAGCTAATGTGTCATGTGGCAAGATAGTTCCTATTTCCTTATGATTACACATTTGGGAGAGTGGGGTGGAGGGAGTGGGAGAGAAGGAAAGAGGGAGAGAGGAACGGGAGGAGGAGTGAGGGAGTGGAAGAAGGGAGGGAGCTGGTACGAGAAGGGGGGGAGGAGGGAGGAGAGGGAGGGATGGGAAGGAGGGAGGGATGTAGCAGGAGGAGGGAGAGAGGGAAGAGGGAGAGAGGGTGGCAGGGAAGTGAGGAGCGAGGGGAGAGGAGGGAGTGAGGAGGAGGGTGAAGAGGGAGAGAGAGAGGAAGGAGGAGGGAGAGATGAGGTGGGGAGGAGGGAGAGAGAGGGAGGAGGAAATGAGGAGGAGAGAGGGAAGAGAGGAGGAGGGAGAGAGGGAACGAGGGAAGAGAGGGTGCGGGAAGGGAAGGGAAGGAGGAGGAGAGGAGGAGGGAGAGAGGGAAGAGGGAGAGAGGGTGGGAGTGAAGGAGGAGGGAGAGAGGGTGGGAGTGAAGGAGGAGGGAGAGAGGGTGGGGTGAAAAGAGCACCCAGATTGCTAGGTACATACCACTTCACCCTCAAACATGGGTCCCTAGGTGTAATCAACCACCCTGCATTAAAGTTAATGCTATTATATTGCCTGGAGACTATAATCCAGTCACAGTGGATACTAATGTTGGTCTCCTATATACCATGACTGACAATATCTTGCAGACTAGGTGAAATTTGCCTAAACAAGTGTGTTACGCAAAATCCTATATACCATTTTATTTATTGCACAGTGCATCACTGTACCCAATTCTTTACCGTGGTGCATTGACAAATGACGGTAACTTACAACACGATGGCTCACCTGTGATTCAGGGACCACCACACTGAAGTTCTCCCAGTCCAGAAGATCCGTGAGTGGAGGGATGTAGTGATCGGCAATTAGGACAGGGATACACCCGAACCAGAGGGCGTCCATTAGTCGTGGGCTCCATGCCTTGTTCCCACGGGGACACAGACAGAACTTTGACGTCTTCAAGGCGCTGGGAGGGGTGAGGGGTGAGGGGGGAGGAGGAGGGGAAGGGGGGAAGGGGAGGGGAGGGGTGAGGGGGGAGGAAGGGAAGGGAGGGAAAGAAGAGAAGAGAAGAAGAGAAAAGAGAAGCCGTAAGATTAAGATTAGCAAAGAGTATAGTAGCATTCTGGTGAACTTTTACGTTGCTGAAGTTACCCAATTAGTCCACACTGCACACAAAATAATATTATCAACAGAGAAAGTTGTTTTATTAAAATATGGCCGGCTTTCCCTCCTCCGCTAACCATATCCCCCTCTGACCGTGGGGTCAAACAGTGTGACTCACTGCTGGTAGTCTTCATCGGAGAGATAGCCACTGACGAGGTTGAAATCTGGGTCGCTTTTGAAGAGGGAGAAGATGAGAGGACGAACACCTCTTTACATGTGGAGTAACAAATGCAGGAGACGACGGATGAAGTATGTATGGTACATACGTACGTACAAACAAGTCAAGTGTCGCAATGCCAGGAATTAAACTCGCAACCTTCTGTTTACCAGTGCAACGCATTACCACTGCAACCATGCATATGGTGGGCTGAAGTATATATATCAAAGAGTAAGAGTCTTGTTGTTACAAAACAAAGATTCCTACTATAATGGTAGTCCAGTGCAACACATTACGACTGCAACCGTGCACATACATAGTGGGCTGAAGTATATCTCAAATACAAAGAGTTGAGAGTCTTGTATTTAATTACAAAGTTTCCTACTACAATGGTAGTTTAGAGAGAAGGAGGCAGTATTAGTTGTTGAATACTGTAGGTTATCAACTAAACATGGGAGTATACGAAACGCTCCTCCACACGTGCACAATTTTGTGAAATACCTGGAGCCTTCTCCTGCCAGGAATGCAAGTTTTTTGCGGCGGGCTGGGTCAAAGGTGGCCCCGCCCTGTCCAATTAGAGCCCAGTCCACCTTGCCCCGCCCGGGGTGGGGCGGGACAGAGATATCCTTGTGGGGAACGTAGCTAGGTTCGGAGGCATCAGCCGTGTTTACCAGTCCAATGGAGTTCTTCCAGAGGGCGGGGTCAGCCAGCTGGGCCATCTCCGTCCCCATGTCGTGTGCACACACGTAGAAATGGTCCATTCCCAGACTCGCATTCCAGTATGGGTACCTGTGGATACGGGAATGTGATCGATGATAACAATTGGCTTCACTAATAATTTTGCACAACATGTTACACAACGTATTCCAATAATGTGATGTACGCTTACGACTCCCACATACGCAATCTCGTGCACCAAACCAGCACAATTAATGTGGGTTGGTGGCATATTTCTAGTTTCACCTTGTGATTTAGACGGGGCCCTAGTTTCACCTTGTGATTTAGACAGGGCTCTCTTCACCCACACACTCTGTACTTGTACATGTATACCTAACATTGCAAACTCTACCTCATCGACCAGGCAATCACGAACAGAAACCCAACTAAGGAGGGATATTTGGCGAGCGAAGCGAACCTACACCTAATCGTTTCGATGCGGGAATTTTCTATATATTACATTTATATATAATGCGACGGCTCTGTCGGGCACTGCACATACACCTCAATGTTCTACGTGATTCTAAATCTGTGCAAAACACGCGCGAAATATTGAACTGCTTGCGCTCGCTCGCTCGCCAAAAATGCGTGGTATTCATCTAGTCATAGCATGCTGTATAATATGTACCTACTTTTTTTGCCTACTTTAGCAAGAGACCAAAAATAGATAGGAGGGTCCGTATTACCTGTGACTGACATCGTACACCATTCTCCTCATAGTCTGGCCGGCCACCTGGATACCCTCCTGCAGGTCTATCACTGACTTGCGGTAGGCAGTGCACCGAGACGGGAGGAAGAAGAATGTGGCTTCCGAGGGATCCTGCAGAGTCAGGTATATACACTAAAGTACGTTCGCGCTGAGAATGAATGCGGAAGTAGGTAATGAGGAGGGCGGTACTATTCGCTCGTAGAAATGTATGGGAAAAGTATGCCGTAGAATGTATGGGATTATGCATAACGTGCGTAGCGAAGAAAAAATTATGCAGCGGATTTGAACGGGGTAAGTGCTGAACGAACCGGAGTGTTAAGCGCTACATTTTGATAACAAGCATAGCCGCATACGGTGCTGGAATCGGAAGTTATTTTAGATTTTCAAGGTGCATTCTCAGCGTGAATGTACTATAGCTAACAGTTAACCACTTGACCTTCAGCGCTAAAGCACTCTCTCTACTGAGCTATGTATATCAGAGCATCATGAACACTCTAATGTAAAAATCTCACGTGATCGTCATACAAAACACCTCCAAACTTGGCGTAAGTGCCTATATAGTTAGGCCTTCACAACATACCAGAAATACCTCACGTGCCGATACCAAGCTATGCCTAAAGGGCTCATTAAGGTACTATATTGTATACCCTAGCCGACAGTTAAACACTTACCCTTCAGTGCTCAGCACTGCCTACACATATACATGGGAAAGGTGTTCTGGTTAGAGAGTTCAGAATGTTGTAGATGTTGTATATAATATAGAGTCCCACCCAGACTGGCTCCTTTTTAATTCATGGGTGTTACAGCTTTGCATTTACCTACCTCACTTGTTATTCATACATAATGCACCGAGACTTATAGTTGCTTGGTTGGCAAAAGTTGTGTACCACAACGTACAACCGACACTACACCTTATGCAGAGGTCTTGTGACTGCCCCCTCCCCCCTCTCTCCCTGCCTCTCACCTGTGTTTTAAACCTGCTTCCAGACAGAAGGGATATGAAGAGGTACTCCACTCCATACTTGTAGTCTACATACGAAGGCATGTCCCCGCCAACAGTAGTGGGGTATATGAAGCTGTGCGTGGGGAGAAAATTTGTCTAGTTTTTTAGCCATCCCAAGTAATCTGTGGTTGGGCTGTACTCACATCTTGAGATTGTGCTCCATGTTTGAATATTCTTCCAGAAGATTCCGAAATGCACCCGCCCCACTGTCTCCTAGCACCTATGTAAACACACAATAGACAAACACGAGTCAGCCTCAATCTCAACATTAGGCACTCAATGTATATGTCTTTTTAAGGCTACAATAACAACAACGCAGCAAAGTATACACGAGCACTGTCAAAGGCTTAAACTCTCCTCTGGCACTATCTTTCGCTCTTCCGCTTTGTATAGCTCCCATTTTTTGATCTTCTACTTTTTGATGGTTTTTGCAGCACACCTATTACAATCCGGTGGTGGATTACTCATAGGTAGCAGTGGTCATGTATTTTATCAAGTATTTTGTATTCTGGCAAACTTTATAGTCTCATCGATCTACACTTCTACTCACTTCTGATTTTCGGGGCAATAGCTTCGCTTAAGAACCATGACTAAGGATTATACATCAATTTCCGAAAATCACGTTTTTTTGTAACATCCAACCACACAAAAACGAATGAAATCCCTGCTTGCAAAATGCCACGGAAATATTTTGTGCAGAGGGCTCTCCAACGTCAAAATCTTTTGATTGGGGGGCATTTTTCAACACCAACATTATCCAGCTACATAATATACATACAGTGCAAAAGGCTAACAGAGTAGAATGGCTACTTTTGCACTCTTTGCCAAAATTTCTCAGTCGTGCTGCAAGCAATCCACACAACTGACGTATCAAAATGATCCCCAATCGTTATATACCTGTGATGGGAGCTCTGCGGTGACCACTTGTTTCAGGTAGAGGTCAATGGTGGAACGCTTCTTCTGCGAGATGCGGGACTTGACCCAGCCATCGCTGTTGAACCCCTCGCACTCGGGGACGGCAGAGCAGGCGGCCTTCATCTGGGCTATCGAGGCCCCATACATTACAAACAGATCCTAATGCAGGGGGTATACATAATAATATGTTAATTCAAGTATTAGAGGGAATGGCTATGTACGGAAACTACATACATATGTAGGTGAAATGGAGAAAGGACACCTCTCTACTTGGTTCTGCCCCATTAGCATATTATTAATAATGCGTAAAGGACACTTGATTTTCCCAAGGTGTCCCTTATTCAGATGTTATATGTACTGTGAAACAGAAAAGTAGTTTTTCCAAGGAAAAGCAGTGTTTCATCTCCAAAATTGTTCCCCTAAGGGTCCTATCGTATATATACACAACACAACAACAACGTTGACTCTACGACGCAAACAAACATGAAGGGCTGTGGTGGTCAGTGGGTGACAGACAAACTTACGTTTCCGCTGGAGTCCACGCCTTCCAGTCTGATGTACGATGTGATGGGTGGAGGGGTGAGGAGGCTCTGTGGTGATGGTGGTGAGGGAGGGGAGGTGGTGCTCATTAACAAGTGTCTTTGGGGAAGTCCCCGGTCGTTGCTGCCGGTAACGAGACCGGGAGGCAGCTGCATTTGGTACGAGGTATGGTACATACAGGTGTGGGTATTTCTGTACTCGTTTTCATGTACACAAAATTTTCTAGTTTAAAAGGTCAAAAATGATTTGATGATTTGATGACTCACATGTCGAGTGCACCCCCCCCTCTCTCTTAGGCTTTTTGCAATAATCCCAGCGTTTACCAGTCTCAGACTGCCCCTGGGTAATTAAGGTGTGTTTTACACGCCATTTTTATACTGGATTAGTCAAATGTGGGTGGCGTTTAAACGCTCCAACCACGGATTACCGTCTTACTTTGAGGGGTGATTTAGAAGCGAATTTACTAGCACTTTAGCAGGTTAGCTTAACATGTGTAAAAGTGCAAAGATCATAATCCGCCATTTAAATGCGGCTCAAGTTTGGTAGTCCGTACGTATGACATCAGAGAATCTGTGTGTATGTATGTTTATTTCAGGCTCAGTCCATTTTGTGTGGTCGTGCAGTGCTATGGCAGTCTCTCGTGTAGCCATAACTCACTCAGCATAATTAAGATTTAAAACTCAATGAGTGGAATGCCAGCCTGCACTGTGTGTGTGCGTATGTGTGTGGTGGAGTAATGTGCACACGGTTCAATAATTCCTGTGTTGATCCAAGAATTCTAGACAGAAATCTGAAATCATCCCCGTATATAGTAAACAAGTGAGTGTGGATGTTTGTGTAATACCCCTCATCCTGCCCTTTCAGCTGTATGTAAACATCAAAAGGAGCGGAAATAGAAATTGAAAGAGCTATTACTGTGTTACACATAGGCTTAACGATTAAATGTGTAGAGAATTAAAAAATGACCGAAGTTTGATTACAGCTGTCGCGACTGCATTCTTATGTCCTACATGTAAGTGTGGGACTTGGCTGAGGCTCTGAGAACATACAGATGAAACTTGTTTGCATCAATTAGCTCCGACTCAGACTGCCAAATGTGACTAGTGTTGAGCAGTAGCTAGATAAGTAGAAGTGTGTAAACAATGGGGATAGCTAATCATTACACCAATGATGGACGAAAAACTTAGATAATAGAAAGTTAGTTTGTTGCGTTTTAGCTAGTGCATTAGTGAGGTGCATTAGTTAGTGTAAATAGAAAACGTACAGCGTTCAGTTGAGCTCGCAGCGATGTTAGCTGCAGCAGGACCAGGGTGGCAATCGTGAACAGAGACAGGGCGAACACGCAGAGTATCCGAAACCAGGGGCGAGTCCTCATCCCTCACCACGCCTCTGCCACCAACCAGCAGCCTACACGATTATCACCAGGCGCTGAGAGCACGGTCTGCAACGGACCGGAGCAGCGAGACGGAGAATCTTCTAGCCGATGCGCGCGGCGCACCCACGCCCCGCCCATTTTTACTGTGGCGGGGCGGCGATGGCACGTGTTTTGGCACGTGATTTTCAGAATCGCGAGCCGGCCGACGACCGAGAGATTGAGCTGCGCGCCCCCACTGGGAAGGACGAAAAGACGCTAGTGTGGAGTTTTGGGTCCTGAAAGACAGTACATCCCACGATATTGACATCTGTAATGGGTTTTACGTGGTCCCGTTCGTAAGTTGGGCGTTGCGAGCCTTTTCTGAGGAACTGGCGAAGGTGGGAGGCGTTAATTAGAGTGTTGAAGGTCGCGGTTGGCCACATACGCCCGAGCACCTGTTTCAGTCGGCGAGAGCAAGAACAAGAGTTGAAAAAAGGTGTACTGAGTATAGTGGTGACGTCGGGACTCCCTCCCAATGAGGCTAGATGCTTGAGCTGGGGCGCTATCCTGCCTGTGTGCTTCCCTGTCACACGACGCTCACGGAGGACCCGGTACACAGAAGTATGAGCGACAGAAAGCACTCGGGAAGGTGAGGATGCCTGTGGGCGCCGGTACTAGTAATATAAGAGTGAAGGAACAGACAGATGGGTTGTAGTAGAGAACGGCTCTGCCCGTGATACGTACAGGTTCGCCCCTTTTCTCTCCCGCGTGTGTGTGCGCGTGGTGTAATGTAGTTGTGTTTTAGCTGGGCGTATGGGTTAGCTTTCTTCTCCGCCTATGTCTCCCTACAGCTCCCGGGATGTAGCCAAGACTGATCGTCGCGAACGAAGCAAGGTAAGAGTGTGTGACGGCGCGCTCTGCATGCTCTGCCAGTGAGTGATCCGCGCATTCTCTCCCCCTACCTCTCGTGTCGGGTTTTCGATCAGCCCATGAGAGACCACAGGCACGCCAGGAGTTCGGCGGAAGACCCCACCATATCCTCGACGCGGAGCGGCAAGTCGGTGTCTACCAACGCCCGCAACCACCCGCGGGCAGAACTGAGAGACTCCGACGCTCCGCGCCAGATAGAGGCGGGCTCTGGTGGGCGGCAGAGCCAAGGTAGAGCTCGAGGAGCCCGTTCTATTTATGTGTAAAAAGCCGTGTAGTCTCCGCGGATTAGCTAGCCCAGAGATGTGTATAACCGACATGCTTGCCAATGGTATTGTAGCCCCCTGGACGCGGTACCTCTGTGGTAGGTGTGGTCCTATTAGTGTCAGTGTTGTTTGTGTATAAACGTTTGCTGTGAGAGTGTGTGTGGTACGCTGCAGGCTCTCCAGCAGTCAACCATGTCTCTTCCAGCAAGTCCAATGGAGGGAGAAAAAGAGTTTGCGAGGTACAGTACTGTGTATTACTATACATTATACTGTTCACAACCTAAACATTTGCGGAACATCACGATTTTTGTGGATACTTCAATTTGAGTGAGTCGTGAAACGCAAAGACTACGGTTTATGTGCCGTTTGCTAGCCTTGTTCCCAAGTTCTCCCTCTCCTCACGCCGTATGACCTTCGAATCTTGGTCACATTGGACACAGAGAGGGAGTAGTGTTAACACGTCATGATTTCATAGCTTAGCACACACACCGTGCAAAAGGAATTGGTAGTATGACGTAATTTTACATACTACAACTGAGGGCACGCTAAACAAAACCATCTAAGTCAGTAGACTAGACTTTCTCTCCACGAGTAAGGTGTCTGGCTACACGAGTTTGGAGAGGGAGAAGGACGAAACTAACCGACTGAACACTCCACACATTCACTCAACCCGAAACGACAGAGGTTGTAATAGCCCCCCCAACTCTTCTTTCCCTGTATCAGGAGGAGGATGAAGAGGGTAGTGTGTGGGTGGAGCACACCAGTTCCTCGGGCAGGATCTACTACTACAACAAGAAGAATGGAGTTTCTCAATGGGAGAGACCTCCCAGCATGGCCAAAAGGTGACCACTGCACACGTTTTTGGGGGTGTTCAAGTGGCCTTGGTAAAACTCTATTTCTTGGCCTTTGTACTACTGATGAGCGAAGCTAGCAACTAGATATCTGATTTGCGAGATACGTTGTGACTAGCTGTACCACACTTGACATTGCGCATGTGCAAAAGTCTCATGTATCGTTCAAAATCACCAATGGTCTGAGAGGGTAAATTCCCTTTTACGTGCTCACAAATCACATCCACCTACCATAGCACTTTCGCGAAGTGTATTTGCGTAGCGGATAAAAACAATTCGCGAAAAGCTTTTTTTACGTAGCGACATAGCACATTTGTGTAGCCGATTGCGTAGCTACATAGTGAATTTGCGTAGCAGGTTGATCCCTGCTTAATGAACGGCACAGTGGGCCGGGCCTCAATACTTATCGGCCACTATACCCTCCCTTCTTCTGCACCCCTCCCTCTCTTGCACATTATCCTCAGGACAAAGACTGACGATATCCCTACAAAGTCAACGTCGTCCTCGTCCAGTGGCGGCAACAAACACTCCTCCCAGTCCCACAGCAGTCCCTCCCACTCTCACTCATCTCACTCCCAGCACACCTCCTCCTCGCACTCACACTCACGTGGAAGTGGTAGCCATCGAGGCTACTCTTCTTCCTCCACCCATCACTCCTCACATCACACGAGTCACTCCTCACAGGGTCACCACGATCGAATGAGGGAGAGAGACAGGGGCCATGGCAGGTGCGCTTCTCATCCATCTACAGTTTTATGTGTACATTCTCAATATGTACACATTGTCTTTTTTCTTGTCTCTCGCTCTTCCTTGTCTCCCTCCTCCCTTACTAATTCATGCAGCTCCCTCCATGTAGAGATAGTGCAGCCACTCTTTTTTCCTCTACAGTTTTTATATAAATTTTCCTTACTCCCCTTTTGTCTTTCACCCTCCCTTTCCTCCCTCCGTGTAGAGTTATAAGAGATTGCACAGCAACTTTTATTATTCTTTCTTTTATTTCCGCCCTCTCCCGCTCTCCTGTGGCCAGTTTGGTTGCATTGCCCTGTTGCATTGTCACGAAGACAGGATCCGTTTTTATCTTCGCGGCACAATGCAATGGGGCAATGCGACGTATTGTGAACCCACCTTTCCTGTCTCTCTTTATCAAATTCTCCTCCCCCCTCTCTCCCCCCTCAGCCATCGTCGGTCCAACAGAGGGTCTCGCAGCAGCAGCAAGTCCGCCTCCGTCTCTCCCACCAGCTCCGGAAGGGGGCGTGGGCCCCACGACAAGGCCACGCCCAATCGTCACCCGTCGTCCCGGCCGCACCACGGAGGAAGAGGGGGGTCAAAGCGAGGCTCGGTGTCGCCCCGTGTGTCAGCCGCTGGCAAACAACAGTCTTCTGTGTCGACAGTGGCAGTGTCTCCCTGCACTCCTAGTATACCTCACGGAATATCTCAAGTAATTAGCCTACGTTAGTATTTATCAATTTGTCCAATGGAGGATTTGTTTCCTGGTATTAGACAGTGGGACCTACGATAATGAATTTCCCCCATAACCTCTCGATGAACTTGTTCCTATTTACCAACTGTCTCTGCCATTGCATGCCACATGTATCACACCTCTCAATAAAGAAAACCTCTGAATAATGAAAAAAACTGTCCCAACATTTGGAGGTTCCACTTTTGACCAATCAAAGTCAGTCGAAAATTCCAAATATACGGATGACAGAATCCTTTATGATTCCGTTTTTTGCAGCATAGCTGTCGATCGTTGCCGTGCAAATGCTAGGAGCTGCATTATTATTTCTTCTAAGAATGCGAGAAAGGTTTTTTGTGTGGAACAGTCGCTCGGTAGTGTTACAAACAGCCCGTGAATTCACCGTACATGGATGGACGGTGGTTATGGGTTTCAGTCAATTATGATACTCATGGAGCGGATTCGACACACAAAGCCTCTACAAAGCTTTTCAGTCCATCCTGTAAATTTTTTTCTCGTACAGTGAACGTTCTTCTGTGATACCAAAGTGTGTTCGTCAATCCACGTGCTTATTATCCACTAGTCTGGAGTGGGTTTTAATATAACCGCACTTAGATCAACACACTACTTGAGGGGGTTTCTTATCAAAATGTGAAAATTCTTCAGTGGCCTCATACTACACGTGTAGTAACAGCAGAAGTACAGTCGTTCATGTGTATAGCTATAAGAGTATTGAAGAGTTTCTATCTTCCTCCCACAGTCTCTGGTGGCCACGCAGCAGGTGATAAATCAGACGTCGGCCATCATCAAACACCAACAGAAGCTCCTGTCTGCCTCTGGCGATCCGGCGACCCCCAACACCCTCTCCCCTCCTCCCTCCTCCTCCTCCTCCTCCAAGCACACCTCCTCCCTCTCACACCCGCACGCCCGGCAGAAACTCGTGTTTCAATCAAACGGACCCCTGTCTCAGGAGGTGATGTCCGGAGCAGGGGGAGTGGCTGTCAGCACGCCGTCCACCACTCCACTCCACAACTCTGTGGGCCCTGGGACTGCTGTGGACATGTCTCCCCAGATGACTGGACTGGAAAGTATGTACATACAATGCACACGCAGCATCATAAGCACACAGATTTTCCTACTATGCATAATGTTCACATACATTTCATGTTTTAGAACAACGAAGTACATGGGACTGGAAAAGTATGTACCTATGCACACACGTAACATGGCATACAACTGTATGTTGCAGTACCCAGACATGACCCCAACAGGACAGTCCTGTCTGGGTACTGCAACAGAGTTGTTGGATATCCCTGGATATCCCTGGGCAGACGACATGTATGTATGTATGTATGAACCCTGCATTCGCGTGCAGGAGTTCATAGGCTGATAAAATTCCCCAGCTTTATAGCTTTTTTACATGTCGGTTGCCTAAGGATGTCCAACAAATAACCGTAATTTGTGTTTGAGACCCACTCACTGGACACTCCGTAACCAATGTATACTGTAGGATTACACTCTGCCCAAGTATGATTTTTTGTTTCGTTTTTGTCTGTAGATCTTCATCCTCTACAAAGAGCCTTACTTTTACAACAGCAGCAGCAACAACATCATCAACAACAGGTCAGCAAGGTCTACTTACACCAGTGGTCTTAATATGGCTGCAGATTCAGCAAAACTAAGAAACTGGTCCAGTGTAACCAGACCCGTTCCCATGTAGTGGGTGGGGTCTAGAGACGGGACTGCGTGCTAATGCGCTGGGCAATAGTAATGGTGTTCATCTCCTATAATTATACAGGAGCGTATGCCGGAGGGTCCAGTGAGGCAGTCTACTCCAGGTACCCCACTTCCCTCCAGTGGGGGAGGAGGCGGGGCCACCCCACTCTCCCAGCCGGTGCAGACTCCGCCCTTCTCTGCCCTCCCGCCCCACCTGACCTCGCAGGTGTCCCACCCGGGGTCTCCTTACTCCAATTCCCCCAGCCACACCCCCTCGTTTACCACCCCACCACCCGGAGTACACCTCGTATCTCACCCCATGGTGCCAGGCCCCTTTACCCCAGCGGTAATTAACTACCTTTCACACGCACACACACACAAAACTGCCAATCTACGAGGTGCTAGTGAAACATACGGTTGCATTTCTACTAATGGCCAAGAGCCAAGAGCCAAGATAACATTGCTGCTCAAGACTAACTCTCATGTAGCTTGCATATGATAAGGCCCAGCAACATGTTGGCATATCTACTATTTTGAGCCGGCTGTCTCATTTTCAAAGGCATCAGTGAGCAAGTTGTCTTTGGATACAGATTTTTCAGAGCTTTGCTTGCTTATCTTGCTAATTACACGTTTTTCATTCATCTCATCTCATTTCAGGGTCTTCCCCCTAGCAACTCCCAGCCGCCAGTATACCAGTACTCTGTTCCCATGGTGATGCCCCCCAACACTCCCATTCCTGGTAATTACACACCAGTACTCTGTTCCCATGGTGATACCTCCCAACACTCCCATTCCTGGTAATTGCAATAGTGGTGGAATGTTACCTTAGCATTCTTTGAGTGAGTGGGGTGAGCACCTTCACCAGTACAGTGCATGTATGCAAGCAGTCCCTAGCTATAGAGCTTCACTGGGGTGGCTCCCAAATGATGTGAAACTAGTGAGAGATTGTGCTGGTGAAGGGTCTACAGCCTAGCTAATGGGAAAATGAAGATGCAGGTCCCACTCGGCTACGTAGATACTGTAGCAGTCCTTTCACGATTCTCACGTGTGCTGGTAGCATGAAGACCGGCAATTGCAGTGATGACTCTACTGCCCAGGTAGAGGGTAGAAAGAATATACAGCGAAACAAAAAGAGAGCTCTGGGTGCTTGGGGGAATTTTTCTGCACAGTTTATTTAACCAGTGCATAATTGTAATGCGTCTGTACTATCAATGGTACACGATCTTTCTACTTCAAGGCATTTACATGGCAGAGGGTGGGATGGTCCAGACGGCGGCCGCAGCAGTGGGCGTGGCAGGAGGGGGCAGGGCTTACATGACCCCTGCTACGCCCGTTGTGCCCCTGCGACCCCCGATGTCCCGACTGGGTCGTCGCCGCAGCAGCGGAGTGGATGAGTTTGCCTCGTACCCTGACCACAGTCAGGTGGAGTCAGTGGCCTCTAAGACGGTCCCGGAGATCTTCAGTCGCACTCTGGCGGAATCCTGGTGGTCCCCTGCCATCGAAACTCTGCAGAGACAGGTACACACACACACACACACTAAAGTCTATTCGCGTTCACCTTGCCGGTAGGAAATCTGCCGTAATGTAGCTAAACAGCGACCGATTTCGAAATTTCAAAGCGCAGCGTGGTTGTAATTGAGCGTAGGTTCTATTTATCTGCTTTGCGAGCGCGTCCAACGCCCACTTACGTACTTAGCTGTATGTCACATAAGCAAAGTACGCGACGTTCCTTTGACCACGAAAATGCAATCACGCGGGTCCAATGTGCGCGCTTAGTGTGCGCGCGTAGCGCAGCGCGAGCAAGAACCCTCTCTCCCCGCCGCTACTGCGGGAGCCCAGGCCAAGGAAAAGGCAAGAATGTGAGGTTTGTTGTTTGAATAAACCGTCTTTACTAGAAAAACTCACGGAACCACACGTGGAACGTATTCAACGCACGCGCAGCATATATAGCGTATGCACATGCACCGCCCACAAATATTCGCGATATTTCAATTATGACGCAACCTTGCGTAAACAGTTTTGACTAGTGCACTTCTGGCGGCAAGGTGAACGCGAACAGACTTTAGATGTCTCTTTCATACCCTAGTTGTGGGGAACTTTAGGGGAGCAAAACTTTAGCATTTTACATATGTAACCAACGTTATAGCCAGTGCATTTTGTGGGTGACTATTACTGTATGGCGGAATTAGAAAAGCAACCTGCAACCGTTTTCTTTGTGAACATTTTAGTTTACCACTGACTTGCGAAGTTTCTCCCTCGAGGTGTTTATGGTATACTCGCCTCTATATAGCCCTTTCGAAATTCAAAGTGCATGCAATTGATTCACAAGAGCCTCCAAAGTAAAAGCTTCTGCACTGCTCCCTGATTGGTGACGGGTTGTAGGATGTTTGTATGTATGTGTGTGTACTTAAGGGGGTGTGTACCTTGGAGACCTCAATAAGATCACTCTGCAGCAGCGATATACATGTAGGGGCAGTCGGGATGGATGGTAGAGCAGTGATGACAATACTAATGTCTGGAGCACACTGCGTGCCGTGACAGTTCTGTCCTCTAAGAAGTCCTGAGCTCAGTCAATACTTTCCTCCTCACGTGCTGCCTGCCCCTCTTCTTTCTCACTTCTTTCTCATTTCTGTGTCTGTGTTAGCCTCGTTCCCAGGCTTTCCGCATGTGATATCAACGAGGTAGAATGACAAGGTCAAAGAAACAGGTCAACTACACCCAGGACAGGCATGAGAAGGAAGGCCTGGTACCCACAGTTCCTCCTCACATGCTGCCTGCCCCTCTTCTTTCTCATTTCTTACTCACTTCTATCGTTCTATGTCTGTGCTAGCCTTGTTCCCAGGCTTCCCGCATGTGACATCAACGAGGTAGAATGACAAGGTCAAAGAAACAGGTCAACTACACCCAGGACAGGCATGAGAGGGAAGGCCTGGTACCCACAGTTCCTCCTCACATGCTGCCTGCCCTATTTCTTTTCATTAAGATATCCTTGTCTGTGTGCGCTGGTTACCCTCTTATTCCTCTCTGTGCTGTAAACCTACACTCCTCCTTTTCTCCTGTTCTTCCTCCTCTTCTCCTCTTTCTTTTCTTCTCTCCCCACTTTCCCCTCTTCCCCCCTCCCCCTCCTCCTCCCCTCTTCCCCCCTCCTCCTACTCTCCTCTCTCCTCCTCTCCCCCTCCCCCTCTCCTCCCTCCTCCCCCTCCTCCTCCTCCCCCCTCCCCCTCCTCCCCCTCCTCCTCCCCCTCTCCTCTCTCATTCACCCTGCCTCTCCACTAGTTGGATACCAGTCTGAGAGAAGTGTTGTCTCGGAGGACGACAGAAGCTCTCTATCTCCACGGGAGACTGCGCCGTTCTCAACTATCTCTCGACTCCACTCGCCTTAGAACAAACACCAGGAGAGAAAGGTCTGTACACATGTAGAGCACAATGCTCAATACAGTGGAACCTCAGATAAGGACCCTCCGAGATAGGGACAACCTCTCTACAAAGGACACTTGTTCTCACCCCATGCTAATACTTTAGTGTGTTATTTGACCTCCGAGAAGCGGACGACCTCTCTACAAGGGACGAAATCGTTGGTCCCTATAGTGTCCCTTGTTCGGAGGTTCCACTGTACAGTACATATATGTGAGGGGGCATGGGAAAAGGGACCTACATATATGGCTGGAATGTGAAAATTAAGTTTTGAGGGTGAAAAAACAATTTTCACATTCCAGCCATAGCCTTTTCCCATGCCCCCTCCATATATTGTATATACCTCATGTAGAGTGTGCAGTGTGTAAATCTAATCCAGATCACCAGTTCCCATTGCATGTACATAAAGCAGATTGCCATGTTCTTATGTCAGTTTCTTGTTGACATGGGCTAGTGCCATCAGTGGGTAACATTAATTTTGGGCAACGTTCTGCAAAGTTATACTTTTGCTCATGTCCAGCAACCCCTGAGCTATGCACACCAATTCAACGACACCACCCTTCTCCTTACCTGTGTATAATGTTTTACTACTATTCCAGATAACCAGCGCAAATCTACCTTTTCCCTCCCCTCCCTTCTCCTCTCACAGGCTTCTCGCTCTTGAATGTTTAGTCACAGAGATTGACCAAAGATGAATAACCCAGTCTGCCGGATATTATAACACGTCTGTCGAAGAAGATTTGGCATCTTAACTCTTTGGCATAAGCTACGCTGCTCCTCTTTCTGTCCCCCGTGCTAACGAGTATAGCCCCTAATTTCTGTTTTAATCTCTAATTTTATCATTTTGATGTGCACTTACTTTCGTATGTAGCATTCTATAAATGAGTAATGGAGTATGCTAAGTTAAATCAGCACTGCAGAAGTTGAAGCATGCAAAAATGTTATTCGCTGTGCGGAATATCACATCCATAAACCAGAGGCGAATGCAGGGCGTTTTTGGAGAGCAGGAGCGAGCATACAACTGTGTATCTGCACGTAACGGCCTAGCAATAAAACCTGCACCTTGGAACCGCGAAGATTGGAAAGAGGTATAGCCTCAGTCAACCTGCCGTCGTCGATCGCCCGCTCCTGCTGGCTGTCTAAACTGGCTAGGCGGCTGCACTTGATGGGCGGAGCTAGAAAGAAACGCAGGCATCAGAGTGCACCAAATACTGCTGATTGGATGAGAGTTCTCGCGCTGGCTATAATTATAGATGGCATGGAAGAGGCAGCGTACTTCGAATTTCGGAGCGCGTAATCCAAACATGCATGTGCAAAATATTGGAATGTGGCTAGTTATCTATGGTATAGGTGGCAGTGTCGGATATAAATGGAAAATTAGCACCATTGGCACTGGCTAGGCTTGCTCGCTCCCCCTCGCCAATCACACATCCACAACCTCCATATTAGTCTATTGGTTTTCACCTGAGCCCTATGAGAAGACATAGTTTATACAGGACGTACCACGTACTTGTACCTATGGCATGGGATAAAAAACAGCTAACTTTCAATTGATAGGTTTCACGTTTAGTGAAGGATCATCAAAACTGGAAAAGTGGTGAATCAAATGGTGCTATATACAGTTTCTTTTTAAAAGGTGACCATTTTTTCTAACAAATCTAACAAATCATGTGAAATAATAACCTCTTAGTCTTGTGCATGGGATTATTCAGCACACGGATTCAGAAAGTATGTATACACAGCTCGCATGCAACATTATAAGTGTGCAATTTCGAGTTTCTATGAACATCTTTATTCCCGTGGTGAGATCAAGAATTGAACCCGAGACTGGAGAGCCAGGCCTCATATACTTACATAGCTCGCGGGATGAGTATTATGTTAGAGCATCTATGGTTAGAGTTACATAAGTACGAAGTATGGATTTGGACCATCCATGGATTTTCTTGTGCAAACCTCAGATCAGATTTGTGCATGAAAACTGGTGGATAGTGTACTAATAAGCATTAATTAGTGTAATGTTAAGCATACAATCAAAACCTGCTCCCCAGCATTAGTCTCACAGCTGTAATAGATTAAATTTTCAGCATAATAATAATATAAACACATCTACACAAACAAACACACACACACATCAAACGTAATTAATACAGATTGATTGGTGAAAACATTTTGTGATGCACAAATCAACACACAACAACAAGCGAAACACTCTAAAAAGTGGCTGGGATTCCACTCAGTCACTGTTTTAAAAAGAGATGATGGAGGGAGGAAGAGGGGAGAGAAAGCAGGAATTTTGGGTTAGCACAGTCTATTGGTGAACTGGAGGAAGAGCAACTGTAGGTTAGTTAGTGTTCAGCAGAGCTGATGGTGAATGCGGAAGTCTGCCACTTTCTCGTGCTGACGTAGGACTTGAGGTGGGAGAGATCGATAGGGACGGCGGCCGTGGAGGAGGAGGAAGTGTCGTCGGGACGACGGAGCTGTCGTGTCCAGGTATGCTGGAGACACTGGGAGGCACTCAGTCTTCCACTGCAGGTGTGTGTGTGGGGGGCGGAGATGGAGATGGTGAGTTTCATGGTGTTACAACTAAAAGCGACTGGTAGCAATTTTGAACTTCAGATGCATGCAACTTGAAAGGAAGGAGAGGCTTTTCAGAGGATATGGTGATCGTACTCGGGTGTAAACCCACATTATTTTTGTAACACCACGTTTTGCAACACTTAGTACAGATGCACTCAAACTGTTGAGTGAACACTACACTAGCAACACCTACGTACTGTGGCCATTAGAGAAGTGAGGTAGTGGAACATCTAAAGCAATACCTACTGTGGCACATTAGAGAAGTGAGGTAGTGGAACATCTAAAGCAATACCTACTGTGGCACATTAGAGAAGTGAGGTAGTGGAACATCTAAAGCAACACCTACTGTGGCCATTAGAGAAGTGAGGTAGTGGAACATCTAAAGCAATACCTACTGTGGCACATTAGAGAAGTGAGGTAGTGGAACATCTAAAGCAACACCTACTGTGGCACATTAGAGAAGTGAGGTAGTGGAACATCTAAAGCAATACCTACTGTGGCACATTAGAGAAGTGAGGTAGTGGAACATCTAAAGCAACACCTACTGTGGCCATTAGAGAAGTGAGGTAGTGGAACATCTAAAGCAATACCTACTGTGGCACATTAGAGAAGTGAGGTAGTGGAACAACACCTATATACTGTGGCACATTAGGTAGTGGAACATCTAAAGCAATACCTACTGTGGCACATTAGAGAAGTGAGGTAGTGGAACATCTAAAGCAACACCTACTGTGGCCATTAGAGAAGTGAGGTAGTGGAACATCTAAAGCAACACCTACTGTGGCCATTAGAGAAGTGAGGTAGTGGAACATCTAAAGCAATACCTACTGTGGCACATTAGAGAAGTGAGGTAGTGGAACATCTAAAGCAACACCTACTGTGGCCATTAGAGAAGTGAGGTAGTGGAACATCTAAAGCAACACCTACTGTGGCCATTAGAGAAGTGAGGTAGTGGAACATCTAAAGCAATACCTACTGTGGCACATTAGAGAAGTGAGGTAGTGGAACATCTAAAGCAACACCTACTGTGGCACATTAGAGAAGTGAGGTAGTGGAACATCTAAAGCAACACCTACTGTGGCACATTAGAGAAGTGAGGTAGTGGAACATCTAAAGCAACACCTACTGTGGCACATTAGAGAAGTGAGGTAGTGGAACAATGCCAGGTATACACTGGCACTAACCTCTGATCTCCCACCAGAAGACCAGCGATGATATCCCGCCCACGCTCCGAGACAGTTTTGAAGTGTTTGCCGGGAAAGGAGTAGCGTCCGCTGCAGATGTTGTCCTTGGTGAGGTCCAGGGAGTCCACCAGGAAGGGGGAAACCCCTCCCAGGAGGGTGTACAGGAGGACACCCAGGGACCACATGTCTGTTGCCACGGTCACCGGCTCCCCCTTCAGCAGCTCAGGAGCTGGGGAGGAATTAATAACCACCTTATAAACTAATACGTAGCTTAAAAGGGTGAGTTGATTTTAGATTCACACGAAAGTGTCCCAATTTTCTCGCTGTGCCGTTTGGGGCCACACGCGGTTGAACACAGTGGAAGACTTTAGGAGTCATTCAGTGTACGGGACAGGCCTCATATCTGCTATATTATAACACAGCTGTAAATGGCTATGGTGTATACCTTCAAACTCCATGTGGTCAAGATGTGGCTGGACGACCGAGGAAGCCCCTCCTCCCACCTCACGTGCCCGAGAGAAGTGGAGTAGTTTGACGACAGGCAGCTCTGTCGCTGGCTTCACCACCATCACGTTCTCTGGCTGAGGAGGGAGGGAGGGAGGGAGGGGAATGGGGAGGAGGGAGGGAGGGAGGAGGGAGGAGGGAGGAGGGAGGGAGGGGAATGGGGAGGAGGGAGGGAAGAAGAGAGGGAGGGAGAGAAAGAAGGGTAGAGGGAGAAAAGGAGAGTGAATGAAAGAGCCTCAATAGCAAATAAACTATGCAACACTGATGATTATTTTCTGTGCATGCGATCTTAGGTGCCACAAGTGGACAGCATCATGGCAAGCTTACTCATCATAACAAAACTAACAGGAAAGGACGGATGTGAAAGTTGAACGAGCCATACCTTTATGGCTAGGTGGACGACGTTGAGATTGTGCAGGTACTCGAGGGCGGACATGAGCTGCTCCATGTAGTAGGCAGCCAGAGGCTCTGACAGTTCCTCTGAGATCGTCACGTATTCAAACAGGTTGAGTCCTCGCAGCCTGCCACCGACCAGGGGGAGGGAGGGAGGGGGAGAATGCATATGAGCGAAGTGAAGAAAAGTGAATGCAATTTCAGGTGGCGATAGCACCATAATTATTCTACAGAAGAAATCGAACGACTAACTGGGCTTGCTTCACTCGCTAATCATGCAAACCTGAAATGGCAAGATTAGAGTGTCAATATGGATCACTCGATTTTTTAACACTTAACCAGCCACGGACACATAAATGTGTCCAGAACCTTCATAAGTCCATAAGATTTTATATGGGGGTTATAATACTAGCCGCTAATATTATATACATATTTTAGCAGATACCCATGGCATCCAAAGGGATTTATGCGACAATGGTTTTACAGACACACTGCATTCAGATTGACCCATAGATCTCATTGGTGCATGCCATATTTATACAGACATTAGATAGAGAGAAGAATGTGCCGGACATTGGGGCATGTCTTACAGCTGGAAGAGGAAGATGTAGTTCTTGTCAGTCTGGTACGTTGCCGACACGCACACTGTGTTGGTGTGGGAGAGCCGAGTCAGCATTTTCAGTTCGTGGTGGGCGTGGTTTCCGGAGGAGAGTGGGATGAGTTTGGCGACGTATGACTGCTGCGTGCTGCAGTGAAGACACTCCCAAATCTCACTGAACTGACCTCTGAGGAGACGGAGGGAGGGAGGGAAGGAGAGAGGGAATTGATGGACTATGTTAAGGGTGTAAATATTGTGGTCATAGCATGTTTCATTTACTAGAAACAATGCAAAGCAATTGAACAGTGCAAAAGTTATGTGAGACCAGAAGGTATAATATATTCGCTCGCCAATAACCACCTACATACTATACACTTTTCAAGTTCAATGGCAAATTCAACTACTGTGCACTTTTCACCAAATCCAGTCAACTGAACCCATAGCCTTGTTCCCAGGCTCCCCTATCAGCTAACTGTGAGAGTGAGCTTTTTGCACACAACTGCAACCTCTCTCCTTTCTCCCCCCCACATCTACCTGGCAATGATGTTGACCAGTTGGTAGTGGTCGTGGAACGGTTCCAGCGAGAACTCGGTCCCGACCAGAGACCGGGCCGTCAGGACCGGATCTGACTCGGGACTCGGCGGACTTGACCCGATCTGGTTCCCGGCTAGGACACGGAACACGTACTCCGTCCCCGGCATGAGGTCGTCCATGACTGTATTGGTGTCTGTGATCCTCTGCATCAGTGTGCTCCATCTGAAACAGGGAGAGGGGGGAGGATAGAAAAGATGAGAGAGAAGGGGGGAGTGGGAGATGCAGAGAAGAGGGGAGAAAGGAAGATGATAGTGTAAAACCTTGAAAATTATCCTCCAAATAAAGGACACCTCTCTAACAAAGAGGCTTAGTTCTCTACTAATACACTAGAACATATATTTCAACCCTGGATGTGGGGTTGGGATCCACGACACTCTGTACTCAGTATAATAGAGAACCCACCTGCCAGAGAGAGTGTCCTTGCATTCAATGAGGTAGAGATTGATGGGGGAGTGGCCAGAGTGGGTGGGTGGAGTCCACGAGATGCGGACGGATGTCGAGGTCACCGGTTTTACCACCGGCTTCCCAGGGACACTTGGTGGACCTAGACGACAGAGGAGGAGGAGGAGGTGGGGGAGAGGAAGGGGGGAGATCGAAACTTCTGAATACGGGACACCTCAGGGACATCGAAAGCGTCTGTTAGTTAGAGGCATCCCTTATTTGGAGGTAAAAGTATGGGGCAATATCAGGAGTCCTTATAGAGGTGTCCTTATTTGGAGGGTCCTTTTCGGAGTTTTCACTCTATGTATTTTGCAAAAGCCTTTTCAACAACTGTGCATGGGATATCCACGCTTGGGCAAAAAATGCACTTTGATGCCATTTATACTCATTGGGCACTTTTCCTTTCTGTTTTGCTAGTGCTTCAATTCCTCCGTACATGCAAGTATGTATACTGTGCCATAGCACAGTGGTTTGCATTGTCTTGTGTTGTAGATTAGAAACCCTACCAGCTGAGTTGCCCTGGTGGCTCAGTTGGAAGAGTGCTCACCTAGACTGCAGAGTGTCGTGGGTTCGAATCCCACGCAGAGTGGGCAGTTGTTCTTTTTTCCTTGGAAAAAACGGTTGTCCTGGGTGTAGTTGACTTGTTTGCATTTCGGCCTCGTTATTTACATACTTGCGTTCATTAGAGTTACCGTGTGTTACGTAAGTACTCCACTTTCATTCCCCCCAGAGAATAATGGGACACCTATTCTTATACAGTACGTACCAATGACAGTGAGTCTGGCGGTCGATGTGCAGCAGCCGTTCTTGTTACAGATGGTGCAGGTGTACAGTCCCTCGTCTTCCTGGGCCACGTTCTGGAGCCTCAAGAGACAGTTCTCGTCCCCCAGACTAGTGAACGCCCGGTCGTGGGTGAGGGGCTTCCCGTCGTGACTCCATTCCACGCTGGGCTCGGGATGGGACCTGGCGATCTTGCATCGGAACCGGACCGTGCGGGACACGATGACCGTCTCGTCTGTCAGATGTGTGACCACCTGCGGCGCCTACAGTGTAGTGGGTGTATTATAATGAAACACAGAATTATAGCTATTCCTTTATTAACCCGAGGTGCATTAATTAAGATGTGAGAGTTACTGTAGTCTGTCTGTCTGTCTGTCTGTCTGTCTGCTTGCCAGTTACACAACTCATCAATCTGTGTTACTAGCCCCTTAGCTACACATGGTATTGTGTTCATTGTGTTTGGGTGTAATTTAATACCACAACAGGAGCTAGTTCTGTCATAGTTTCTCCAATAGTTTCTGTTGGATGGCAAAGTCCATGGGAGCTAATTAGTAGTCCCACAAGACGCCATACGCTTTTCTCAGGAGTAACTTTGTTGATCAGTGCAAGTAAAGACACTGAAAGTAACTATTAGCTAGAGACACCATGTTGTAATGGGAACTTTTCATTTCGTCTTTACAAGAGCTGCATCAGTAAAGTTTTCCTGTGATATTTACGGTGAGTGGAAACCTGTTTGAGGGTGGGACAAGCAACCACTGAGCCGTCGGCCATCTTGCTCAAGTGTTCTTACCAGAAGAACTGTAGGTGTACATGGGTAGCAATGGACTAGAGATGCTACTGCCTTGGGCTACTGAAGTAACACTTGAGCTTTTTATTCCACGGTAAATTTAATGCATTGGTGAACTATTCCTCTTTGTTTTACAGGTGAATAATGTCCAGCTGTTACACAGCGTCGATGACTTCACCTCGACCACCCACGCACGCTCTTGCAAAGACGCACCTTTCCAGAGGTTGAAGGCTTCTTGTCCTCCCCAGCAACAGCGGGTGGTGTCGGTCTCTGCAGCTGCTGTTCAGGCTCATCTCCTCCGTAGCCGACGTTCTCCATGAAGCTGCTGGTGATCTTCTGCCTCTTGCGACCGCTCTTTGGGCTCTTTTGTCTCTGCTTCCTGTACGACACCGTCCCACTGCTGCTACAGAATAGGCCGGCCAATATAAAACTTTACAAACTCCCGTGCAAAAGTCCACGTTCACAGTTACCCCTCAGAAAGCTAGCAGGCACCGCAATTGTGTAGCACAGCCAATCAATGAGCGGGTGTGGCCTGCACATACGCTTGAGTCAAATGCTTAAAATTATGCGTGCGTTTCTAGTTGGCCTAGGGTTTTTAATACTTTAGTGCTTTTCATAATGGTAAATAGAAGGTAAATTCTAAACCACAAGACAAAAGCTGCCCTGGGTGGGACTTGAAAACTTTTCTATGCAGAGCGCTCTACAAACTGATCACTGCTAAAGTCTCACAACAGAACACAACACAACACAACACAAGGCAAAGGCCAACACATACGTATACCCATCCTTATATCACAGTATGTACTACCGTACCTTGGCAGATTGTTTGCAGGGAATGTTGTGGATTTCTTTGAACTGCTGCTGCTGGTGTTGTTGGTGGTGCTGTTGCTTTCAGAGTGATGGCAAGCTAAAGGAGGAGGAGGGGAGGGGAGGGGAGGAGTTAATAATTAAAGGGGTATACTACTTCCATGCTACGTACAGTAGGTCAGGGAAATCGATTTTTGAGCAAACTGGCTTCCAATTGTGGTATAGACATGACCTACATGTGTAGGAAATACCATCCATTTTTTGGTAATTGGGCACTTTGAACTAAACCTATTATATACGTAAGTATGGGGATACACAATGTAACACGTACAATAGATGTGTACACGAAACCAAGCATATGGACATATGGACTATATAGGCAAAGGCACAACAAACAAATCAACTTACACCCTGGACAGCTCGTGCTGCCCTGGGTGGGATTCGAACCCACGACACTCTGCAGTCTAGGCGAGCGCTCTACCAACTGAGCTACCAGGGCAACTCAGCTGGTAGGGGTTCGAATCTACAACACAACACAATGCATACACACACGTACAACATATATATATAGGTTAGATGCGGAAGCGAGGTGTCTACGTTACATTGCAACCCGAGGGGCTGTGGAATGTTGGCGTCCCGAGCGCAGCGAGGGCGCTACCCACATGCCCCGAGGGTTGTAATGTAACGTTGACACCAAGCTTCCGCGTCTAACCGGTTTAGACCGAAGTATCTGATTGGTGTTTGCGCGTTCAAATGGGTAGCAACAAGCTAGCAACGCTGCGCTCATTCTTACCTTCGGATGGAACAAGACGCTTTTTTTACGTGTGAGATTTTGTCCGACTCCGAGGAGACAGCCCCCGCCCCCCGTCAAAAATCGTGTACGTCATCATAAAACGCTCTCATTGGTGGTGCGCGTTTGAAAGGGTTAGCAACGCACGGCAACGACCCAATGTGTTTGTGTATCGCCAGAGCTGAAGAAGCCGACGCTTTTTTCGTGGAATATTGACGTGATTTCTGACTTTCGCGAGCTCCGGAGACTGTCCACAGACTTCTTGCAGGTGCACTGCGCATTTTAAAAGAGCTACTTTACAAGTCGCGCCTTCTACGTTTACCGAACGCGGAATCGGCCAGTTTGCGCAGATAACGACTTTTGAGAATAGCCATTTTGTACGGGGAGTTTGCTGTAGACCACCTGCAAACGCCATTAGACACCTGAAACGAGGTGTCTATGAAAAATAAACCCCCCGCAATTCTGTAATCTGTGACTGCGGTCTAAACAATAATTATACACATACCGATCCAGTAGGCAGCCTCTTCATCAGGTGACAGAGATTTGGTGAATTTCTCCAAAAAGGAACTGGGAACCCAGCCCTGTTTCCCCAGCGCCGCCCCGTCCGGCTTCGTGTCCCGTGCCAACCGAGCAAACCACCAATCAGACGACTTGCTGGTGATGTCATACACCTGCGGTCCACAATAACAGTAAATACTGCAGAAGGTATGTATGTAATATGCACTACAGTAACCATAGGCGATGAATTGCATTTGCAAAGCTGAATCAATTAACCCTCGGTGTGCATGTGCAGTTGTCATGTCTGTCTGTCTGTCTGTCTGTTACCCAACATCTGACTTCACGAGCCATGAATCGCTTCACAAACAATACCACGTATTCAGCGTCAGGTATAGGTCGAAAAATATGTAGGGTTTTCTCTGAAACTGCTGCGTTCGAGAGTTCGAAAAAGCACAATTGCTAAGTAGGCTTACCTCGACCAGGTCCGCTTGCTCTGTGCATCTTGAAGGCACAAGAAGTCACAACAAAGGGCGTGTATCGACTCCCGCATGCTATCTGTACTACTGTAGCTAGCCTGTGTCAGACTCTCCACGAGCTACTAAGCGTGAAAACCACGAGTAACTTGGCCCAACCCATCAGTTAGTGGTACCGCGCATGCGCTGTGCGCCGAGGGTTTGCACTTCAGTGCTTTTCATTTTCCCTGCACTTTAAGATGAAAAAACATGTAAAACAATCAAATGCCTTTTCAGTAAAACTTGGGTAGACCCAGCTTTAGTTGCAGTAACCACACCCCTCCCTCCCTGCCCCACCCACCTGTCCCTTCCTAATGAAGAGGATTCCCTCGTTCTCTTTAGTTGCAGTAACTACACCCCCTCCCCTGCCCCCCCACTCCCTCCCTGCCCACCACACCTGCTCCCTCCCTTCCTAATGAAGAGGATTCCCTCGTTCTCTTTAGTTGCAGTAACTACACCCCTCCCTCCCTCCCTGCCCCACCCACCTGTCCCTTCCTAATGAAGAGGATTCCCTCGTTCTCTTTAGTTGCAGTAACTACACCCCTCCCTCCCTGCCCCACCCACCTGTCCCTTCCTAATGAAGAGGATTCCCTCGTTCCTTTAGTTGCAGTAAACTACACCCCTCCCTCCCTGCCCACCCACCTGTCCCTTCCTAATGAAGAGGATTCCCTCGTTCTCTTTAGTTGCAGTAACTACACCCCTCCCTCCCTGCCCCACCCACCTGTCCCTTCCTAATGAAGAGGATTCCCTCGTCGTCTTTGGACGGAGCGCAGTCCTCGGCAACCACGTACAGGTTTAGTGGGCGTGACTTCAAGGTGGAGGTGTTCACAGTATTTTCACCAACTGTCAACATCTGGTGAGTTGTAATGAACACGAGTTAGTATTAGTAATAATCTAGTAAAGAGAAAGTTTGGAGCGAGATAGAGGTTTGGAGGTAAAAGGAGCGGGAGAAAGGTTAGTGAGACAGATGAACTGTTGAAGGAAGATGGAGGGAACGACATAAGGTTGGAGAGGTAACAGAGGAGGGAAAATACGAGGGAGATAGAGGGAAAAACGAAGGCAAGAGTGAAATAGAGGGAAAAGAGGAAAGGTTTCAGTGAAACAGAGGACACTGTGTGTGTTGTATATACTAACAGGTAATCCGGCAGTTGTCTGTCGCCGGTGAGGGTGTGCAGGAGCCCAGAGAGGAGAGAATGGGGTGAGTGTGTCCCCTTCCTCCGCTCCCTCGTCCTCTGAGTCATCACTGACATTGATGTGGGCCACACTGTTCCTGGAGAGGAGGGAGGGAGGAGGGGAGGGAGGGAGGGAGGGAGGGAGGGGAGGGAGGGAGGAGGGGAGGAGGGGAGGGAGGGAGGAGGGGAGGGAGGGAGGGATGAAGTACAAGAAAACCAAAGAAGTACTGTGTGCCAGTGAAAACTTGCTTAAGCTCCAACAGTGAATAAGGTGTAAATGGGGGTAACTTCGGACACGGGGTAATACACGGACATGTAACTCGCTATTCAGAGACAAGAGAAAGATTCGGCTTGATTACTACCTACCAAAGCGCTAACAAATCTTCATCGCATTTTTTGCGCAGCGAATAAATTCGAAGCTGGTGTCACCCCCCATGTCTGGAGTTACCTCTGGGTCCGGAGTTACCCCCATTTACCTTACTACATAATATGTAGCTAGCAGCCGAAGAGGTGAACATTATGTGAAACCACTATCCCCACAATACACATGAAGTGAAACAGAAGGGGTTATAGCTAACATGAAGGTGGCAGGTCCGAGTGTCTGGCTCCTGTGGCGGGCACTAGTTGGAGCGGGCTGTTTGAGGGCCTTCAGCAGTTGAAACTGCTGCTGCAGGATCTTCTTTATGGCCTCCACCCACACCTGCAAGAGATAAGGACGGCATTACATATATGATCAGGCATTGTTAAAGTGACAGAGCTGTACATTAATATAGCAAGCCAGTATTATACATGAATCTTAACTCAACACCAATGTATAGTATATAGAAGGCAAGGCAAATTCCACTACACCATATTCGATTGCAGCTCTCATGCATTCCTCCACTCTTTCTCTATTGGCCCTAGCCCTCTCCTCCTCCTGCTCTTCTTTCTAGTAAAGATTGTCTCCAATGCCGTACGACGTACAGTAGCTATCACTTGGACATCTGTCACTTTTCTCTCATCATCCCTCTCATCACCCCTCTTATCCCCCTCCTCCCTCCCCTCTCCTACTCCCCTCCCCCACTCCCTCACCTGTTTCTTCTCGGGAGAGCTGGCCTCCAGCACATAGTACTGATCCCAGGAGTTGATGGGCCCAGTTCCAACTGCAAACTTCGACGGACTGTCGTCTTGTTTCTCCACTATCGACAGACTGTGCACTGGGGGATGATGTCACCGTTACGTAATGACAATCTCTCACGTACAATGACATCACCATTACACCACACAGTGACCTATCCCACATCCTGGGAGTCTACAGTAGCAAGTAGCTACCTATCCTCTGACCTCTGATATCAGAGGACAGAATCTAGTAAGTCATTGGAACTATAACAGACTCTCTCTCTATAGCATACATATTATATTCCCTAATTCTAGGGCAGAGTCTATCAATTACTCGCTCGTTGCGTAACAATGTTTCCTCATTTGGGATGGCCATGTACGGCTGGAATCTGAACAAGTCAATGTCAGTATGCAAGAAGAGTTTTGCAATACCAATTTCCTGATCCACTACAGTATAATACTCCTCCTACATTGTACATAGTATGTACACTAACCATCCCATCATAGCAGAAGCTAGGGACAAACATTGTAATGCAAACTTCAAAAATGTACGTAGTTCTTGGGCTTTCTAATTACTAAAAATGGTCATAGTAGTTGCAATGTCCAAAATAAAGTAGTTTGAAGTGCAGCATTGTTCCGTTTGTCTCACCTTTGAGGGAGTCCTTGTAGACGTAGAGGCCGTCTGCATCCTTCTCCTTGGTGAAGATGAGTCTCTGGTCCATGAGGAAGAGATGTCTGCTGGCTCCCGTCCACCGCGACCTCTCGTACACCGTGAACTCATCCTGTGTGTGTGTGTGTTGTGGCACACTCATCACATGCAAGGACACTCGTTTCAACCCCATACTAATACTATTTGCCCTCCGAGATAGAGACAACCTCTCTACAAATGGCAAAATCGTTGGGCCCAAAGTGTCCCTTGTTCAGAGGTTGCACTGTAATCCTAGCACTATGTGTTCACATGAACGTTTTTGGTGATGTCCAGCAGGGCTATCACCAGGCAAAATGTTTCAGGAGTATGAGTCCCCCGTGGTATATAAATATCCATGAGCGAAAGAAGTTTGGGAGAAGGTCAGTGAGGTGTGTGTGCATCATTTTTCAATACGCAATGTTCACTGGTGGCAGAAAGTTGATTTGCCATTCTAACCACCTCCGCAAGTCACGTTTTTGGTCTCCCGTGGGCGGGACTGAATGGGGGGAGGGGTCAGCGGCACATCGTCCTACCATTTCATTGCATTGTTTTCCCACCAATCAGTGGCATAAGAACCACCGGGACACCCCGTCGATTAACCCTAACGATTGCAGATATCTTCTATCACATGCATATGGGTGCCCCTGATCGACATAACAAACATTATCCTGGACTAGTATAAACCCCACTCACGTGCATGATGAGTTGTCCACTGGCGCTGATGGCTCCGTCGTATCCACATATCATACTGAGAGTCATGGCATCGTTGGCTCTCTTGGGGATATCCTGCATCTGCTGCAGCGCCGCGTTGAGGTGAGGGGTGGACGCGAGTCCAGACTTCACGGCACTCTTCTGCAGGTCCCGCAGGAGGAGCTGATACTGACTGATTCTCTGGACCGGTTTGATGAGGAAGGAGTCGATGCCCTGTCGCTGCTTCAGCCGCTTCTGGATGTCCTGTGTGTTGGGGGGGGGGGGGTGGGTGGGGAAATGAGTAAGGCAGAGAGGGGAGTGTGTGTATGTGTGGGTGTGTGTGAGGGAGGGAGGAAGGAGAGGAAGGGAGAGAGGTGTGTGTGTGTGTGTAAGGTGAGGAGGGAGAGAGGGAGAATGTAAGCAGAAATGAAGTACGAAGGGAGAGAGAGAGAACAACAACAAGGGTCAAGGAGGGAGAAAAGGAGGGAAGAAGGAATGGAGGTAGGGAGGTAGGGAGCTGACCTGGAAGAAGGTGCCTCCAGTGTGCAGGTATGTCCATATGAATGACTCTGACTTTGGTTTGTTCTCGCAGTACGTGATGTACACCTCGAAACTGGGACTCTGTGTGTGTGTATGTGTGTACCAAAGAAAAACAGTATCCCAAGACGCACACACTAAACACGTCTGTAAACCCAAAGGTGTACAATACATACAGCTTTTGCGTGTCCCTAACTGCAACTGACTAGGGACTGGCTATGTATATAGCAGCGAAGCAGCTTTGTAGCTTGCGTTGTACATTATGTTAGTCCGTGTCTACTGTAGTTCTCCATGAGTGTCAACCCCTCCCTTTCCCTGCTATATACACATCTTAGGTAATGTCATGTTTTCTAGTGCTTATATGGTAGACGTGAGCACCATTATACATAGAAGACCTGCACCATAGCAGAGTAATGGTATGAATGGCTTACATGGTCCAGAAAGCATTTGCCCACGGCTTCCACGTCGTGTCCTGCCAGCTGGAGACTCACCAGGAAATGACTGTGGTCAATAGTATATGGGCAGTTAGTGGAGCAGTGAGTGAGTGAGAGTGTGCGTGTGTGCGTGGATGCATGTGCGAGTGTTTGGGAGTGTGTGTGTGTGTGTGTTGTTGAACAAGGTACATAGGTGTATGCTTGTGGGTAAACAATAACTGACTGGTTCAGAGGCTTCAAAAGGTGTTTGCATAACTTCAATGGGCTCCCAATTGGAGTATTAACCCCCAAATGACCAGACTCAAAGAAGGCATAAGTAAACATAAACTACGTTGAGTTGTAGAGGCCAAGGGGTACGTGCTATGTGCAAAGAATGGCCATCCGCGGGATACCAGTGGGTTTGCCTGAATATGCCAAGGGGCACAGAATGAAGTTATACCCACTTGTAAAGTAGCTATGCACATATTGTAGCAACTACTATATTGCACGCGTCTAATATACATGAAATTATAGTTCATAGCATACCAGCCATGCATACTGATTGTAGCCATGCCTTGCATGCGTCTTATAATGAACAGGGGGGCAGTCAGCATAGGCTCCAGTCTCCGGTTCTTTCGCAGTGCAACAACGGCCAAAATCTCGCCACGGAAGCTGTCGGTTGTACGGCCTAGCATGCCATAGAAGCTACGTACATTTTGCTGACTCCGTGTAATCACCCTTGTGTATACCCACGCCGGTGTGAAGTACATAGCTCCCTTAACGTATGCATAAGGGTCAAGCTAGTCTTATATACCTGCTGTGGAAGTCGTGGACTGCCTGTATGTTTCCAAAGATGAGTCTCTCTTTGTTAGCTAGTTCACTGGGCAGGTCGTCGCTCTGCATTGCCTTCATGTAGCCCTAATAGCGGAGATACACGTATATATATGCACATGCATGGGAATTATCAATACTAATTCACACTGCACATTGAATGAAGCACATGTCCACAATGAACTGATAAATACAACGGAAATACATTGATGTGTATTGCAGGAGAAAGGAGAATATTTGCATGACCACAGTACAGAGTAATGCAAGTGTGTAAACGCTGGCATGGACAGCTTTCTTCACTGGGTTACCACTGGGTTAGTATAACACACATACATTGATGCACATGTCGAGTGCGACCACATAATCCTGCTCCGTCTGCACTATCTCTGCCACTATATGCCTGCAGTGGGTAAGAGAACCACAGAGTGATCCACTGAGCACGTTATGAAGCATGCATCAGAAGGTGTGGTTATCATAATGGTGAGTGGCTTACTTGAGTTTTTCACGAGCTTTTTTCGCACTCTCTGGATCAGGAGTCTCTGGTGTAGCTTCCTAGGAGGGAGAGAAGGAGGGAAGAGGGAGAGGAGGGAGGAGGGAGGAGGGAGGAGGGATGATGGAGAATAAGGGAGGGAGAGGAAAGAGGGAGGAGGGAGAGGAAAGAGGGAGGAGGGAGAGGAGAGGGAGGGAGGAGAGCGAGAGGGATGATGGAGAATGAGGGAGAGAGAGGAAAGAGGGAGGAGGGAGAGGAGAAGGAGGGAGGAGAGAGAGGAGAGGGAGAGGAGAGGGAGGGAGGAGAGGGAGGAGGAGGAGGAGGAGGAGGGGAGAGGAGAGAGGAGGGAGAGGAGAGAGAGGAGAGGGAGGAGGAGAGGGAGGGAGGAGAGAGGGAGGAGGAGGAGGGAGGAGGAGGAGGGAGAGAGAGGAGAGGGAGAGGAGAAGGAGGGAGAGGAGAAGGAGGGAGAGGAGAGGGAGGGAGGAGAGGGAGGGAGGAGGGAGGAGGGAGGAGGGAGGAGGGAGAGAGAGGAGAGGAGAGGGAGAGACGAGAGAGAGAGGGATGATGGAGAATAAGGGGGAGAGAGAGAGAGGAAAGAGGGAGGAGGGAGAGATAAGGCGAGGTAAACGGGGGAGAGGTAGGATTGAGAGAGGAACCAGGACAACTGTTTTAGGTGGGATTCTAACCCACAACACACTGCACCCTACCCTTGCACTCCGACAGGTATACATGCATATAGCTATTTTCTCAGCTTTAAAAACTGTCAATCAAAAACTCATTTGTTTACTCAGATTAGGGAAAATATGGTATGAGAACCTTCTAACAACGCAGACAATCTCAAAAATCCCACAAAATCTGTCGAGTGAGATGTAGACTTGCACAGACTTACGTATTAACTGACTCTGAACTACAAGTGTGATCCTCTGGGCCTGGCTCTATGTAGCTAATAGGCAGTGGTATGCATGGAATGCCCTGTGAACCCCTCCACCGACATTCAGTAGTTAAACATGCATGCCTACAAGTCCTGTGATATCACCAGTGCATTGGCCAATTAACAGGTTTCGCTGCACACAGTATAGGGATACAGTCAACTTCTTCATCACTTCACTCTTTGCTTGTTATCAGGGAAGATATGAGGTTAATGGGACATCCTCAAAACACATACATAGTTGATAGGATGGCGGTACACAGGATGCATCGATTAGCCAAACACTAGATCATACGATACATGAACCGCTAGTACACGAACTGCTAGTACCCGTAGGATGAGACAGTGTGTATGCATGTGTATGACCCATCACGCCCATACATTGTTGCATTGGGAGTATGAAATCATGCACCCTCTTGCGCTAGCACGACACCCTTATGCCCTAGCACAAGTACATGCAATTTTGGAGACATGATGAATGTGATACTGCCGTAATGTAATGTAAGATGTACAACTCATCATACGACTCACTGCAGTCTCAGGCGCCTGAATGCTCTCCTCACTACTGCAACTGGCCATCTGCAGAACAAGAGTTGTTTCCAGTTTACATCATTGAAGCATGAAAAAACATGTTTATAGCATACTAGCTAAAAGAATAAAAGAAAGAACTCTTTAAACCCCCCCCCCAAACTAATAGACTTATAGAAAAATATTTAAAAACTCTGAAACTTACGCAGTACAACAATGCAACTTAGGTAGAAAAAACGTGCGATTACTCTAAATAACGCACAACATATACACGTGTAAGAAAAAATATAAAAGAAATGTCAGACATAAACAGAAATAGAGAGGCAGGACCCTGGGTGCCCAGCCTTGAGAACCCACACTGCACATATCGTGATGAAATTGAACAACTGGCATTTGCCACCAGAAATGCATTTCTCGTCTGTTCTAAGTAGCAATATGTAGCTCTGCAAAATGCAGAATTCTGTGATTGCTGTAAACTACAAATGCTGAACATGTATTGTTGTTATTTGCTATAGCATGTAGATGGGGCTTGACCCCATGGCAGAGGTCAAGTAGTTCTACTTGGCATGGTTTTTTTCTACATGTGGCACTGGGATAATCAGAATTCTTGTCTGTGTGTACATAGGCATTGTGATAAGCTCACCTCTATGCTAGTATATTATGATCGTGTTGTGTCTTGGCTCCAAGAAGCTACTAAAACCTGGTTCACATTACGCCACATGATGCACTCTGACATCACGTGAAGGATACAAGGACAAACGAAATGTGACAAATGCAACGCAATGTGACTCCACGTCTTAATACGTTCACACAAAGTTCGTAGCTTTGCATCACATCAGATCACAGTATCCTGCGACATATTGCAAACAGGCTATATACCAGTTTGGACAGCAATCTAACCAGTTACGAACTACAAGTTGCTAGTGACGATATGTATATACGTAGCTGTGTTCTGACCTTCTCAGTGGGGGACTCTGAGCGTTCGGATGATATGGAGCCCTTCTTCTTGCGGTAGAGAGCCCGGCGAGTGGGTCTGTGACTCCAGCTGGTAGAGCGGGCTGAGGACGAGAGACGGTTGGGACTGGGGAGGGAGGGGACGGGGATGGAGGGAGGGGACGGGGATGGAGGGAGGGGAAGGGGGTTGAGAGGGAGGGGTGGAGGGAGAAGGGGGAGAGGGATAAATTGTGGTTAAGCAGGAAGAATGTGTCATTCAGACCACAGCTAAGAGACAAACATAAGATGTTCTCAGTTGGCTAAAGTTGATATGTTTCACACCACAGGCATTTGAAGCATGTTTATATCTACTCTTTCTGTTGTAACTTTGGACAAATCAACATTGAGTATCATCAGCTAACCGAGAACATCTTATACCTATACACCTGTCTTTTTGCAGAGTCCGAACGACACTGATAACTATATATTTATGGGAGAGAGGAAGCAACGAGAAAGATATCACACTCACTCTTCCTCAGACGAGAGGCCGTTGGCTGCCGCGTGATTAGGTGACAACATGCTGGGGTCCACACTGACAGAGGGGGGCGGGGCCTGCTCCTCCTCCCCGTTCCGAGACTGCGGGGGAACGTGGGCCACTCTCGGAGACGCCGATATGTCCAGCGATGAAGCATCCGCCTCCTCCTCTTCATCGTCCTCCTGTAGGGTTATCTTCTTCAGCGTGCTGATCACCTTCACCCAAACAAAAAACCGACATGGTAACACAATGTACACTCGTAGTGCCCGAATAAAACCGTGTGCACACACGATACGAAATATAGCTGTACCTGGTGGCTTTGTAGATCGTGACTGCCAAATGACGGCTGAGATCTGAACTTTTGCAGCTTCTCGCCACCCAACACCCCTGCAGAAGAGTCAGAGATAGTACGCACGACTGTGAGTTTCACTTTCATCTCCAAGAGAGCTCACTTCTCTTTTGACCATCGCACAACAGAAACTAAGTTCTCCCCTGTGCCCTTCATCCACAGATATCTATCATCTAGCCCTCCTATCACTGGATCTCCATGTGAAGCTGTTTAGTTTTCATTTAAGGAACTCACAAAGGTTTAGGCCCTATGTAACTCTTCCCTTATAGGTATAATATACAGGTAATTAAAACAAGGGCGGTGAGGGGGGGGGGGGCTTAGCAATAATCTTTAGTCTAATTTCTGATGGTATAAAAATACATTCCCACTATCTATGGTGAGTGGTTTGTTGACCAGAGAGGTACGGTAACAAACAGAGGCACTAGTTCACCTGAAGTGATTATGGCTTGGAAGAAGATCTCCCGTCAGTCCTCGTCCCTCCCAATGGGCATGAGGACAGTGGGTGGGACCCACCCCGCCTCAGGGCTGGCCGATTGCGTCCTCACGAACCATCTCTCCTCTATCTTGTTGTCCAGTACCTCCACAACGTCTCCCTTCTTGAGGGAGAGAGGATGGTCACCTGATGTGGAGTAGTCTCTGGATACCTGGAACTGAGGGGTGGAGGGAGGGAGGTAGGGAGGGAGAGGGAAGGAGGGAGGGAGGGAGAGGGAAGGAGGGAGGAGGGAGAGGGAAGGAGGAGAGGGAGGGAGGGAAGAGGAGGGAGGGACACGGAGGGAGGGAGGGAGAGGGAAGGAGGGAGGGAAAGGAGGGAGAAAGAAAGGTGGAGTAGGGAAGGAGGGTAGCAGAGAGGTAAGATGCGAAGGGATGGCAACACAATCTGGAAGCTGGAGGAGTACCATGTACATATGTTTGTAAGTCATCTGTAGCGAACACACATGTATCCCTTCAACTTTGCCCTATACCATAACATCCATACAGCAAGCATCAAACTTATACCATTCAACTGTCAACACCCACAAATGAGCACATGAGTAAATAACTCAGTTCACACACAGCTGACTTCAGCACTCTGGGGTATGCATGCACTGCTCACTCTGGGGGGCTCAGTTTTCCCACAATAGAGAGGTTATACTGACACCCTCGCAGTTAGTCCAAACACTTGCATGCCTCACTAGTGAGATAGCTACCGTTTGGCACAGTGGGGGACTAATTGTAGCCTAAACCACCCTGCTGCACTATACACACACTCTTAACCCAGCATTGCAGGTTCAACCACATTCCCCGCTCAGTGAAGAGTCTATTTTACCTCTCCAATGACATCACCAGTGGGGGGTGTGTCCCCACCACCCAACACAAGGACCTTGTTGTAGAAGAGCCCTGATATCCGAGACACAGTGCTCCTGTGACCACCACTTTGTCTATTAGTTCGTGACTGGAAGAATTTTGACTTCTTTTTCGCTGCCTCTGGTCCGGTAGCTCGACCAGCCATGCTATAGCCTGACTAGAGCCTATCACTATGGTGCTACCTACACAACAAACTGAATAGTATGTTGAGGGGAGTGGCTTTGGGCATGAATAGGCACTTGAGTCAATGAATACGGAAGCCAATTCAAGAGCAGCACCTCTATACTTACACTAAACCCGTCTATATGTGGAGATGCAATAGATACACGGTGTGTAGTGGGAAGGCACGAGACTTGGACGTAAGAACCCAGCTGAGATTTGTCACTTTTCTGACTTGCAATTTCCCTTATATATATATACGTTGGTTATAGTGACAGCCTTTTACCATTCCCCTCTCCCTCTCCTCTCCCTCTCGCACTACTTCTCTCCCTTCCTCCCTCCTGCTCACCTTATCAAATCCATTAACGACAGGAGCTCCCATATTAGACGGAACGGTTCCGTTGGCTCTGCGAGGAGGAGGAGGAGACGGCCGGGGACTGGGGTTCATAAGGTCACTCGACACTCGATCCACACTCATGGTAACGGGAAACTTGCGCTTTGAACTCATGGTGGGGGAGGACTGTTGGGTGAGGAACTCCCTTGGACTGTTGGA